TCATCCAAAAGAGCCGCTCGAGCAACTTCGATTTCTTCTTTCTTTTCGTTGCCATTATTAACCGTAGAACCGTCTTTTTTTTCTTCAGAGTCGTTTGCTGCAGTGTTTTTTGTTTCAATTTCTTTAAAACTAGGCTGTTTTTCCCTTTGCTCATTATTTTTTAGAGAATTGCTTTTAATGTTTTCCGGAGCGGAAGCTCTCTTCTTTTTTTCTATTTTCGGGAAATTGTCAGTACCTTTGTCTGTTAGAAAACTAATGTGTCTGGTATAAATACTTCCTCTTCTCTGATCTTTTCGAGAACTAGAAGGTTTATCATCCATTGTAGATTTGGGATAAGAAACTTCACCCGAGAGATATATGTGTACGATTATTTTTCAAATTTGGTTCCATACGACGTTTACGAAAATTTTTGCTTGACAAATTAGGCAAAATGAATTCATATTGTAAATGGCTTTATATTAAAATATATTGATGACAGCCTGTAACTGTAAGTAAGGGACAATCGAAGATCTGACGAAGATTTCGTCAAGAAGTCACAACGCTAAAAAAATGTAGAACACTAATATCCTTTCTAACCGTTGCACGTTTTTAAGATAAACCCTAAAACTAATCTCGGGATAATTGTATCGTATTGATGTACCTTCAAAATGTTTCCCCCAGTTCAGGCGAAAATCGCAGGAATGCCCACATAGTAGGTGTTATTTTCTTGTTAGTTGCGAGCGTTCTTTCAAAATGCAAATTTCTTCGAGCTCCGCTTTCGTAAACCTATTCATGTTCTTAGCCTTTCTCTGCCATTTCGAAACGTTCCGTTGCAATTTGTGAACATTTATTATCGCTTTTCGTAGCTGGCACGAGTTAGTTGGGGCGTTCATTAGACTTTTTTTGGTTTGACGTGGCCTTGGCAAAATCAGACTGGTTCGCAATTTCGAGCTAATTGCTTTAAAATCAATTTCATTGCCAGCCAATTCCTTAAAGTCCATATTGACCGAGCCCGCTTTCTATTTTCCGTTAATCTGAGACCATGAAAACGGTTTATGCTTAAATTTATTTTACAACTGAAATTTGGAGATGTTCTAGAAAAAAATTCAATTTTTCCAATGCTTTTTATTTATTTCTATTTGAATTAAAAAAAAAAAAAAGAAGGAATCTACAATGACAGGTTTATATGATGACGATGTTTAATTTCATTTCGTATATATATATATATATGTATTTGTAAGTTAATGTTGGTGTTCCTGATAAATCGGCTCTTTCGCTTTTTCATTTATTTACGTTGTTTCTTATTCTTGGATGATGGTTTTTTTTGCTTGCTCGATTTTCCGCTTGTCTTTGACGATGACGACTTCTTACTATTACCCGTTTCAGAATCGTTGCTTTTCTGGTTTTTCATTTTAGAAGTGCCGGCTGATTTCACTTCAGTCGCGGGAGCTGCCTCAGTCGGATCGCTTTTATCAACACGCTTTCCTTTATCCATTTCTATTGAAGGCTGGAGGACGCTTATGCGTTATCGTTTACAAAACGGTAAATGTGTAAAAATTCGTCGGTTGTGTAAAAAACGTTAAATTTTGCTGTTTTCTATCTTCCTTTGAAAAATTTTCTAATATGATTTTTTGACGGATATTGCAATGAAGACCGTACAAATTTTTTTTGAAGTTTATTTCTCGTGTTTACGTGCACCTATATAAAAAATATATGCGTATTGCTTGCATGACGCATCATTTCGTAAGGACTCTTATCTACACATAACTATCCTTCCCGTTTTGAAGTCTTACTAACTTCTCGGTTCAAACATTAAGCAGTTTCCTCTTTTTCCATCCCGTCGACTCTTCCTATCATCAAATACGAATTGTCTACGTGACTTATAGCGAACATTTTAGCTACACTTTATTCATATCAATATAAAACGGCCTACGTTGTAATCTACGCCATTAGGAAATGCTCTATAAGTGTCTATAGCAAATTTAGGGCGCGTTTCAATTTCTAACCAAGTAATATAAGGTGACCAAATGTGTGATTTACTCCTTTAGGAAGTCCTGTATAGGTGTCTACGTCAGAGCACTGTTTATTAATTTATTTTTTAAAATGAACTGCGGTGTAATGTTCTCTCCTAGCAGGACCTGTATAACTCTACCCTTTTCGCAATTTTTTGGTTCTTTTTTTGCAAGTGCAATTTACAGTAAAAGTTGGAAAGTGATAATTATAGAGAGAAAGGCTATCAATACTTGTGAGAGCCAGGAAGTTGCAAATTCACGAAGAAGATGAAAAAGGTTTGACATTTATCCAGTTGGCGAACTTATCTCTAAACAAACGTACTCAAATATATTTCGGGCTAAGAGAGACTCACTTCAGTTGGCTATTTCCTTCCTTTGTCCCATCTAAGTTTACCATTTTATTTCTTACGTTTTTTCGTAGTTAAAATAGACAAATTTTGCTTCATTCTATCATACGTGAACGTGAATGATGAACGTGCAAATTATGAAATATTTTCCCTTTTAATGCGAAAAAGTCAAAACCATTCATTCTTAAGATGGACTTATATGGAATATTTTTACTAATTTTCAAAGTTAGGTTAGGTTAAGTCTCTGTTGCAATTTTATGCAGATGAAGATCGAACGAGTTATGTTAGCTTTTCACCTTTTTTCATATATTCCAAGACATTTATTTAAATTCACATACCATTCATATATCATAGCAGCAGCATAATACTCAATCGTGCTTGAATTACTTGGGTTGGTTTCGACCTAACGTGCAGTATACATTTATGCGAAGAATGTTAGGTTACGCTTTTATAAAAAAAGCGTTATAAAGAATTGGTAACATTAATGCTTATGAGGTGCGCATACCTGGCAGTTTTTTTCTTTCGATTGCATATAGATATTCATCTAAAATTGCCTTATCGGTGTCCATTTATCAAACCGAGAAGGTTTACTTCATTTGAATTTCTTCGCGTTTATGACACGTACAAAATGTAATAAAATGGAAAATTTTCTTTTCTTCAAAATGTCTTTGTTTGCAATGTATTTACAACTAAACATTTAGGAAATAAATGAACTACTGAAAAAAGGAAGGCAATAATATAAAATGTGCTCAAAAAAAGGGATCACTTTTTATTTTTCATTTCATTTATTAAGTTAATATAAAGCCTTAGGCCTATTACCTGGTTACATAGAAACATTTTATGTGTATAAAGACACTATGGCATAAGTGAGTACACAAGTCAGCTAGGTTACTGCTAATGTGATCACCTTGCTCCGTAAACTCAATTTAATTATTAATTCCTGCCGGCAACAAAATATACATAACGAGTTTAGCACTGCGATCAACTTCCTTCTAAATGCGTTCAAAGATTCATCGAAGGATTTCAGACTCAGTGGTAAGGCATTCCAATATCTAGCAACACGAACAGTAAAAGTGGTGCTGTTCGATCTAGAGAACTGCAGTCCTTCAATTAAGAAGCTTGCGGGGCGAGTTTGCAACCTGCATTTTAGATAATTCAGAAATATATTGCTTTATTTATTCCTTTATTCCTTTATTTTGTCTCCTTAAAATGCTTAGATAATAGGGAAAAATGTTGATTTATTCATCATTATCTATTTTGTTCCCTTCAAAGCAATCGTCCTTGGAACCATTTGTGCCAGTGCTTTTTCCACTCGACTTTTGCATTTATGATATACGCTTTGTAATATGACCTTGAGCTCTTTGAGCGATACGGTATTTGCCTCCTTAATCCTTGAACAGACCTCGTATGTTTGTTCAGACTGTAAGAAGGGGAAGTGTAATATCTGGTGTCTTTTCAAAAATTGGACCTTCATTATTAACTATTAAATATTTCTTGTCCGGCAGTTAGCTACTCTAAGTAGAAAACAAAGCCATAAGAGTTGCAATAATTCGCTTACCCATATTTAATAGAAGAAAAGTATAACTGAGCCTTTCCCTGAAGTTAAACTTTTCAAATAATGCTTTTGGAAATTCTTTGATGTTTGATGAGCTCTAATTGTGTAGAAGATACACATTTACTTTGAAAATGGCCGGTCATTTAATATTGCAAAATTCTTTTCGTTTCGTTTATTTACCGTTACCACACACTAGTTTATAGTCCAAATAAATGAAGGAGTAGCGACTTGCTAAGCAAATTTCTCTTAAAAATGAGAGTGAACTGGAACCTACAGGCACGTATGCATATCGAAAGCATTTTCTGTGCTCTCTGCTAGATAGATGAATTTCTCTACATGCATATGCTTTGTTTTGTGATAAGTTTTTGAACGGGTAAATCTCTCATATCGTTGACCGTACATAGCCGATCTGGCTATAAAGTAAAAAAAATAAAAAAATTCTTAAGGAGGAAATGTCAAACTATAATTAGTTGCAGTCTAAACATGCGTTAGATGTGGGACCATGAATTAAATAAAGAGAAAATCAGCGTTTGAAACTGACCACAATAATGGCAACGATTGTGAAAACCTGAATAAAACGAAATCATTGCGGATGTCTGCCTTGTATTTAGCAAACTTCAAAATCTTTCGTCAACGAAAAAAGGTAACTGGTAAAAGGGAATCTTGGCTTGTTTATGTCATTTTGGTACCTATCGTACTCTTTCATAAACTTTAGCTATTTAAGACTAAATATAAAAATAAAGGAATAGTGGATATCGATCGACATCTCGGCTCTTTCGAAAACCCTACAATACTATAGTTTAAAAATGAATGAAAGGTTTACTTATTTAATGCGTTTGTAGCATATTTTTACGAACGTGTGCCATGTGATTAGTGTTTATGTGGCGCGAAATTTATCTATATGAATGTTTTGTTTCATGTTTCGCACAATTCGCTTTTTTCTGCGCACATTTCTTTGGTTCGGTAAGATCTGGTAGAATGCGACAGGTTTTAGTTGCTTTACCCTCCCGATCATTTTTGTTGGTTTTCTATTACCTGACGAATGAACCGAATGCGCGATGACAATAAACGTTTTTTATTTATTAAATGCTCAAACAGACCGATTGCAATCAGTAACACGAGCTCTCGGTGATCGTGATATCGAAAATACTGTTGAGTTGAACCAATAAACAAATAATAAGAGAGTACACAAACATAAAGAGAACGAGCATGAAAGAAACTAGTCACAGCTGAAGAAAATATTAAAAAAATGGCTTTGTCGGAAAGTAGGGTAAAGTGTGTGTGAATATTAGTTTTTATAAATTTTTTCAATATATTTTTAATGAAATATTGTGTTAATAGGCAGGATGTTAAGTGCTAAGAGGCAGAAAGAGCTTACGCAATGAATATATATGGCTATGAATTGATATAAATTAGCAATGTTGTCAATAATTATTTTTCTTTTAATAATGCTCGTATTTTATTTCAGGTGACTAACTGATCATAATCTCAAAGTGGTAAAATTGATAATTGGCAGAATTGAAAACGCGGCAGACAATACAAAACACACTTTTCATTAAAATATAAATTCTCTAATGATCTTCGACACTTGATTTAATATGGAAAGCGCAAGAAAAATCGCTCGCCCTATGAAAAACGCTTTACGTTTAGAAAGAGGAGCAAGTTTGCAAGGTTTACAAGAGACGGAGAAGGAGCAGATTGGACAAGAATTGGAGAACAATTCGGAAGAAGAAGATTGTAGCGAATTTGATGAAATAACATCAGGTACTAATGGCAAAAGCACGAGTATGGAACAAGAATTTTTAACTTATACCTCAGAGGGCGCGAAAGAAGCGGATCATATTAAAACTTTCAAAGCAACTGATGATAGTCTAACCGATCGACATAGCTCCGACTCAATTGCAAAACTGGGCTCCCATTCCATTTCTAAATCGACAAATGCCGGTCGTGTTATTGCACCAAAATCTCGGGAACATTTGGCATTGCAGCGTTCAATTCATGATTCAAAAATTTTGACCGATTACTTCAAAACATCAAAAATTCAGTCGCGTAAATTGCGAGACAAAGATGCTATTAACAAATGTAATGATTTAATTTTTAAAGAAGGACGCGACGGCACCTCCAAAGGCATTAAAACCAAACGGTTCAATAGACGTTTCGTACCTCTTAAAGATGATTCTTCAGAAAATAACGCAGTTACGTTAAATTCGGATTTGATGGCTCGATCATCGCGCAGCAAAAGTTTGCATAGCCAATCGCTTAATTTTATTGATAGAGAAAAAATTGTAAAGTGGCCGTCGGAAGAGCGCTTAGTTGTCAAACGTACAAATATGCGTTCCGAAAATCCTGAATTTGCGCAAAAACATAAGGATTTCTTAAAAGAAGTTATCCATTCTTCGGAAACCCCCGAACGTTGCTTACGGTCGAGAAGCAGTAGTGGCAGTGCGATTATAATGAGATCGCGAAGTAGTAGTAAGAGTGCAGGGCGTTATGAGAAGGAGTTATCACTATATCAACCAAATCACAAATACGCTATGGATATCGAACACTATGACAAGACCGTTCAAAGTTCTATGGAAATAGAAATCCGGGACAGCGGCTTTGGCGTTAGTGTTTGCAGCGGTCAGCCCTACAGCGCGAGTGAAAACGCTGATGATAATTCGATCAATGACAGTAACAAATCTGTTATAAACTTGGATGGAAAATTAAATTCTGATGAAAGCAGCTTGGAAGTACATTTAAGGGACGTATGGCAACCACCGCTGAAGGTACGAAAGTGGCATATGTACCTTTTCTATTTTCTAAATATAAACAAAACTTGATGAGGCAAAGAAAGTCTTCGTGTTTTTTGAAAATTCTTCTAAATTTCTCTTAAGATTAAAAGAAACAAAAGCAAACTTTCATTTATATTACAGCCTGGTTGGGATAGCTTTTGCTGGAAGTGTCATAGAAGTCATGTCAATTACATTTGTTCCAAGTGCATACGTAGTTTTCATAATACTTGCATCAAAATTAATGCCCCCGCAATAGGAAATTTATGGATTTGTCCTGAGTGCATAGCCGTTGAGAATGCTCTCAATAATCCCAAACGGTAACTAGTGCTTCTAGTGGACAATGTTATACATTTTTTCATTTCCTTTTCAATTTCTAGTTTTCGCCGCAATGAATGTTCGGCAGATTCGTTAAGCCAGTTGCTCTCGATCGTGTTGAATCGTATGCGTTATGTTAAAGGGGTAAGTGTGTCACTGCTCAATTTATTTGCTTTTACAAAAATTGTCGCGAATTATATTTACCTATATTCACTCGCATTTAGTTTGCATGAAAATTCAAAATGCAGACGCGATCTTTATACACACGTCATATCATTTACGCATATAGTGAAGTTTTCAAAAGAAATCTTCAAAAATCTTTAATTAAAGTATTTAAGTGAAGTATATTAGCAGTAAATTATAGCATTAGAGATTTCATGTCGTATATTATATAATGTATAAATTATGCTCAATTTGTCTTGCCATTTTAAGCACCATATTCTTCAGACATCAGCTGATGACGACCTTGCAACTTATAATAAGTATATTGTGAACCCTGTTTCATTTTCAACGCTTCAAGACAAGGTTGACAAACGAGTATATCGGTGTGCTGAGGAACTTCTCAATGATACAAAATGGTTTTTACATAATGCCTCCATTTTAAGCCTAGGACGTAAGTATAAAAATACTTTTCACTTAGAAGTTTATAGCTTATACACTTTGTCATTTGCCTTATTGCTTAGTAGTTCAGGTGAGTACGACTTTCCAAACGGTCCGAAATTTTATGTCGATCTAGTCTTTTCCTTCTACACGAGCAACTTCAATTTCTACACATTTCTATAAAGCACACCCATAAATATTGTACAACGTGATTGAAAGTAGAATGGAGATCTGAACATTTTGAATCAGAACATTCTATTAATATATCTAATATATATATTAATTCAATAATCAATTATACATATGCAAATATATTATTATTATTATTATTATTATAAACTTAGCCAGAGAATAAATTCTAAGGCTAAGGTCTTAAAGCACTAGCATCTAAGGCTTTCGGCTTTATTAAAAACTCTACCGCACTTGAGATTTGAACCCACGACCATTGAGTTGCTAGTCGAGACTCTTGTCTACTCGGCCAATCAGGCGGATATATGCAAATATAAAAATAAACGTCTGCCTAATTTTCAAAAAATATTTTTAGATCGTTCTTTTCCCGGAATCCACTAAAATACCTATGTAAGTCTCGGCATTCAAATCCATCTCAAAAATTGCGGCGAAAATGTGCTGTGATTGGCCAATTTAAACCTAGAAAACCAATAAAAATGGCTTAAAACGCTAAGCTTTTTTTACTTATTATGCTGTACATCACAGGTACAGTATGGTACAGGGTCTATTATATCTATCAATTCAGAATCACAGAATCGATCTTGGTTTGTCTTTACGTCTCATGCCTAACCATGTATTTTTGTGTTCAACAAAATTCGCATTTTTTGAGATATTTTCATCAAATTTGGTGCCCTGAGATGAATAAATGTATTAAGCGGAACTGCGTCGGGTAAAAAATAGTGGGCTGCGGCCGATTATTATGCTCTTACTTGTTTACATACATTTCTATAGCAAAGTAATGTTTTGATATGTAATATTAAAATATTTTCAGGGACTACTAGAGCTAAAACGGTTACGGTCGCCAAATCTTTGATTAAAATATGTCGTCAGGAGACGGCTGAAATAGATACTTGTGCTCAGTGTTACATGAACGCGAATTCCCGCAATGATTGGTTTGTGGATGTATGTGATCAACCCCATTTATTGGTGTGGGCTAAGTTAAAAGGCTTTCCTTACTGGCCAGCAAAAGCTATGGGTATTGGCCAGGGTTCATTGGTAAATGTTCGTTTTTTCGGTCAGCACGATCGGGCTTTTGTGCCTCTCAAAGATTGTTTTCTATATTCACAACAAGATCCGAATTCCCAGACCGGTCGTCGGTCTGCTAGAGAGTTGGCTGATTGCATTAAGGAGGTGGAAATGCATATGGAAAGGATTAAGAAAAAAATCGGCGCTTTCCAATATGCGCCTTTCAAAACACCCTATGATCCAAATGAAGAAATGCAACAGTTGGAACAAATGATGCCAGGTGTTCAAGATTATATCAGAAGCCAGCAATCGCTAACATCGAACCCACCATTAAAATTAACAATATGCAAGAACGCTGGCAATACGTTATCAGTTCTACAAAACACCAGTACGCAAGAGAATTCGATCGTGCAAAATCAAGAGACAATCGAAGGCGTAAGCAAAAAGAAACATGTCGAAGAGAGGGATGATGACGGCCACGTTAAAAAACATGAAAACCGCACTAAAGGCCACACCCCTAAATATGAAGTTATTTCCAAATCAACTTCAGACGATAGCAATTCGTCAAAATTAAATACCGTCATATTAAAGCGTAAGCCCGCACAAGGAGCGGTTAACAATAATGATGGGAAAAGAATGTCGGCAGCGGACGGAGGAGATTTACCACCTCCGAAAATTGCTAGAAATGAAGAAACATCGGAGCAGTTCAATTTTATCGGTAACCATCAGTTAGCGTCTGGGCTTGGCGACGATACAAGGGATGAAGTAATATCTGCATCTTTATTGAAATCTAAATCGGGTAAACAGGATGCACAAAGTGGAACAGATATAATAAATCGAGAACCCATAACATTGGATAAAAATTCGGAGAAGAATACAGAAGCTGTACTTAAAGAAAAATTCCTTAAAGAGCAACAAGAAAGAGAAAGTCAAAAAACTAACAATATGCTTAAATGTCCGTTGCCTTTTGTGGAAGTCAAACAAGAAGGTACTTCCGATAATAACATAGAAATCGAAGAGTGCGTAATTCTTCAAACCATATCCGCTCATGCAGAAAACAGAAAGGAAGACTTTAATCTCGTTAATAACAATACTAATACAACGACGCAAGAAGAGTTTGGCGCCGATGTAGCGACAATATCAAACACAACTACAACGGAATTGCGAAATTCTTCGCCTTTATTAACATGTATCAAGCAAGAGGTAATATCTGATGAAGAATATGCGGGCTCAACAGAACATCGTGTCAATGACATAGTAGCTGTTGAAGTTGCACAACGAATATCTCCTAAGAATATAAATGCAGTCGTTTCTTCTGTGAGTACAACTATTAGCAACAACAGCGACAGCAACAACGTTACAGTTTCAGGCCACATTTCCAAGACCAATATCAATAATAGTACAGCACATTTAACCAATGTTAAGCGCAATTCATTTAGAGGAGTACCATATGGTCCGTTGCCTGCTTCTGCGGTTCCTCAAATCAAACCTGCCCAAATTAAATTAACTACAGCCGAAATAGGTCAATCCCAGCAGCACCACCACCTGCATCATCATCTGCAACAACAGCAAAACCAGCAACAACAACAACAACAACAGCACCAACAAACCCATCACCAACAACAGCAACAACAGCAACAGCAACATCATCACTACCAACAACAGCAGCAACAACAACAACAACAACAGAGAGCAAAAAAATCATTTCCACAACGGTCGCCTAATGGAGATAATCTGCGCTTGATAAGTATTGTGGCAACGACTTCCAGCTCAATGCCAACATCTGTTAGCTTGGTACCTTTAACAACGGCTACCGCAATCTACAGCTCATTGAATACTACATCGAGCTATCAAAATACAGAGGCTAAGCAAGTTCTCAATAAAAATACTATGGTAGCAATACCGGTTGATGTGGCTACTAATAGGTCAGAAATAACAATAGATAACATTAATACAGCCATCCCGGTACCGCCTTTAACTGCTGTCTCGAAAATTTTGCCTTCATCTTCGGGATTATACTCAATGTCACGCACTATGCAATATCCGGGACCTGTAATAGTTTCTTCCGCTTCTACCAGCGCAATCCCAGTCACCACACCCTTAATTATAACAACTACCGTGCCAGCGACAATCACTCACAGTTTGTCAAAGACTGTGCCACCTTCGTCGTCGGTAAATTTGCTTATATCAAACGTAGAAACAATCAGTTCACAAAACGCCATCAACCCTGCAAGTAATACATCGCAACAACAATCAAATGCTTTGTGTATGAGTGCACCACCACCGTTGGCTGGTTTGTCTGGCACTAATTTGATATGCACTCAAATCGGTCCTAATACTAACTTGTTAAATACTAATTCTACCGCAAAGCCGACGACAAGTGCAGACACTCATCTAATGGGCAGCTTTGTGACGCCTATCATGTCTTCAAGCTCCGTGTCTAACGAAGTTACTTCTCGTGGTCCACCGCCCCTTTTAAAGCCCCGTCCGGTCGGTCCTTTGCAAGCTGAAGCAAATATCATGTTCACCGCTCAAGCTGGCCGCGCCTGCAAAATATTACATGAGAACGGTGATAAGGTGAGTGTATACTTCATTCCATTTCTTCGATTATATCCCCTAACGCAAACAAGACCTAGTAAAAAAAAGTAAGAAAGTTGTATTCGGCGTTTTCGCTCTCGTTTGATGCCCATATCGAAGTTATTTTTAAGAAAACATTTATCCACCAAGTCGTGACGTCTATCACAATTGCTCTACAATCGATACACCTAGCTTGTCGCACTCTACTCTCCAAGTCCTTTCATATGATGCCCGTTTCGCTGGTATTATTGAGGGAAAAATAATCAACAGGTCGCCGTGCCCACAATATCTATTTTAGAATTCCATATATATTTAGAATCCATTTTTAGGAAGGTAATATATCTTTGTTTGTTTGATTTTTTTTCCTTTTTGGCACGTGAAAGTGTACAATTTCTGAATAACGAGCAAAAACCCACAAACTTTTGTTCAAAAAAATGGAGTTGCGCTCATTTTGCTGCCCACTGCGGGCTACTGCTCTGACCAATTTGACCCTTTTAAATACCAGCCTACGTTTAAAAACTTCCAATATTCCAAATTTGAAGTCGATATCTGAATTTTTGCAAGAGACGGACAGACATGGCTCAATGCAGAATTTCATCCTGATCAGGAATACAATGCTTTTGGGTGTTACATAAATTATGAAAAAAATAAAATGAGTATACGCCCATCCTATAGCGGTAGGTATAAAAATTAAATCTTACTTTTACTCAAAGTAAAACTCTGTTGTCTACATCATTTGAAATCGTTATGCAGTAAAGTGACACGAATTCTTTGGAAACGAAGCAGTGCACAAATTGATGAAGTCTTCGTTGAGAATAGGAAGCTTCTTTTAAGTGATACACTTTTCATGAAAAAAATGCGATTACTAACTGTTTATCCACCACTTCTTGTATGGCAACATTTTAGAAATTTATTACTTTGACCACTTTTTTTTTGCTCATCTTTCCGCAATGGATGTAGATGAGACTCGTCTGTATCTTTAGCACGTTCGTCACGTAACCTTAAGATCAATCGTGCTCTGCTATAATAAGAGCTGATTTATCGTGTATGTAATTTTAATGATTGCAGAGCACATAAAATATTGGTAATTGCGAGTTGTGATTAATAAATATTGTGATTATGGTGGTGCCAATCATGTTTCCTCTGCTTTTTGTTCTTTGCAGTTAAAAGATTTTTTTATTTCAATTATCGAGGACACTGTAGCTGAAGTGTGCCAGGGTGACGAAGTGAATTTGTCAGCCAAGATTACGCATTTATCATTAGAATTGGAGCGTACTAAAAACGAGCTGGCTGAGGTTAAGAGGAGCTCTGAAATACTCTTGTGCGAAATGCGTAAGAATTCGGAAAATGAAAAAGTGCGCTTGGTAAATGAAGTTCGAAAGCAATGCGAATCGGAATGTTCGCGTGCCGTAGAAGAAACGAAACGAAAGCAATGGTGTGCTCATTGTGCACGTGAAGCAAAATTATACTGTTGTTGGAATACTTCGTACTGTAGCTATACATGTCAACAATTGCACTGGGCAATTCATGGTTTGAACTGTGCTCAAACTAGGCTTCCTCACGATCAGTCTACGAGTAATTCCCAAAGTAATTTATTACCGCAACACTCCGCAGTCGTCACGGCGACAAATCTCATGAATACAAATTTAACGGTAACAGCAATTAATGCAAAAACGCCACCACAATTGCACCAACGGCAACAGCAGCAGCAGCAGCAGCAGCAACAACAACAACAACAACAGCAACAGCAATCACAACTCCCACCTGAGGTACGTCGCCGCACGTGCAGTGACTTTTGCTTTTAACATTTTAATGTTTTATATTATTAGGCACAACATTTTCATATCCAAAATTTTAAGAAATTGTAGCGTTGCAATGGCATGCTAAGAAGTGTACAAATAAATTCTTTCCCTTTTCTTGATAAAATTCAAGTCTATTTAAAACATGACTGCTACAAAGCGCAATAATTGAAATATGTATCATCATTTTTTATGGCCTTTTGGCATTTATCGGAAACTTGGATGGAAACGTGATGGAAACTTTCCGGGGTGAAGGCGAAATAGCCATCGACCCGTTTTCGCATATCTTCAACTTCTGTGAACCGCTGACCTGATAAATGTGACTGCATCCATCCGAAGATTAGGCGTTGATCGAAAGGGCCCAGACCTACTTCTCTTAGCTTTCTGCATTTTCATTCCAAGCTAACTTAATCATTTCCGTAGCTTCGGCTGCATTCTTTTCCAGTTTTATCCAACTGAAACCATCGAAACCGTAGTGTCGTAAACTTTGACGTATAATGAAATCAACTCAAACTTATATCGTTCAGATATTAACATCTTCACCGAAATTTCGGGTAGATTGCACGCGCCAGGTACGCTTTATGACGCGACCAATTTCAGCGGACGATATTTATTTGTACACTTAATCGAAAAACTCTTCATAGTAATTCTTATATCGTAATTTGATTTAAACCCACGAAACTAACTAAGAAAAGAATGGACAACAAAGTTTTCCGAGCTATTGCAGCTAAACTAAGTATTTCCCTGAACCAATTGATACCAAAGCAGATGAGTAATTCTTTACGGACACGATAAATCATACATGATGTCCAATAGAATTTTTAACTTTCACAAATAAGCGCCGAATATTTCCTTTCATCACATTTCACTTACCTATCTCTAAATATAATGAAACATTTTGAGTACACATTTTAATTGCGGCTTACTTGTAAGGATGGCCTGTTTTTGTTTAATTAGAAAATCTTACTTTAAAACTTTCATTTAATAAAAGAAGAAGAAGAAATCTATAAAATGCTACTATTCGGAAATGAAAACCGAGTGCTGGGACCTTCAATAAAAGGCGACTTCAAAAGATGTTGAACAGTAAGCAGTAAGCGGTATTAAAATTATAAGCATTCATTATTTTGCACGCGAAAATTTTCAAAGACATTTTTTTTACTTCGTGGTCAAGATGGCTATATGATCATATTGATCGGTTTTTTAGTTCCGAAGAAAATTTTTGTAATTCGATTCAAAATGAAAAATTATAAAGCATTCTTCTGAGTTTGACTTACAGAATAAACCGCTTGCTGTAAGTAAAATCCTCGTCGCGTTTCGCTGAAATAACGTAAAGAAAACGATCACTTGTTTTCATTCGTTAACATAGCAACTCAGCACACATAGTTAATAAAAAAGTACAATTTTTGCATACAGTTTTCTTATTCATTGGAGGCCCAAAATTGTTTAATTAGAAACGATTCGACTTGTCTTTTAAGCGCCATCAAGCGATTAAAGCCAGCAGCATAACACCAGCCATTACTTTCAATAAGAACTTGCTTACGCTGAAAAAGGACAAAAGTATTCGGACGAAAGGTGGCCCTCAAATTACGGGGATATCGGTTAGTAATCCAATACATGGCACGGAGGTATTAAAATTGGCCAGTAACACATACATAAGACCTGTAACAAGCGCTAACGTGAATTGCAATAACAGTAATCAGCAAACGATACGGTGCAACACCACTTACAGCATACCAGCTCAGTTTTTAAACGTTACTGTAAGTTCACATAACCGTAAGCGAAATACTATATATTGAAATGTTGGAGTGGAGTTTTTTTATAATCTTAGGTGCCGACAGTAGCATCAAGTGGATCGCAAAAATATGCTATTATTCAACCAGGTAAGAATTGGATAATGAATAATGCAGCGAATAGCACCTTAATTAATGCATCCACCATCTTAGCTTCGTCTAACGTTAGCAACGTAACCCAGGCGAGAACTGGCCCCAATACTGCACAGGCACACAAAATTCAAGTGCGACCGCGAAATGTAACTCAAATTAAATATTATGGACCATCCTGAAATTAATATTAAGCTTCAAGAATAAAAAAAATTATATTTTTTATAATGCTAAGTCACGTGACCTATCCCATCCTTATTTATGGCAGGTCATAAAGAGCCAGGCACACAGAAAACGAATACCACATTACCGCGAATAGCTTCTGTTTAAGAGCTGGGCGGGCCTGAATATATTATGATTATTTTTATTATTTGAGTTTATTTAGTCTAATCGAATCAATTGTTATGTTAAAGAGAGAGGAGAAAACGAGTTAAAAAGTCATCGGTTTTTGACAAAAAAAAAAATTGGACGATTTGTACGTTATACACGATTTATTATAAATATAAGTCAGATGGATGTTACTCTCTGCTTTTTACTTTCTAAGATGTTCTTCAGGTTCATTGTACCCAAAATGCTCGTTCGGTTTGAAGGGTTATGATGTTAGAAAATTTGTGCAAAGCTGTAAAGTGTATGGTCAGCTTTCTTGAAAATCCCTTAATATAGTGCATGTGTGCCTCCAAATTGAATTCTTGCAAATGTTCAACTACGATTTATTTGCGTGGATTAAATTGAGATTTTGAATAAAATTGGCATCGACGTAGGAACAAAGTCAATAAGTTATGGTGCGGACGCAGTTAATTTCGCTGCACCATCAGTTTCTTCGTTTCCAGAAAGATCAATGCGACGCACTAGCCTAAGTAGTAGGAGTATTTCTTAGCATGTTTTAGGGCATATCTTTTAAAAATCGGAGGATTTCGAAGTATTTTAGTGTGAAAACGTTTGCTGAGATAATAAGTGTCCTGTTTGTAATTCTACGTGCAATGTCTCCGACCTGAAAATAGTTTCGTAGGCACTATGAACTCTTTGACGTTGTGCTGAGCCACCCGCTCACTTTTACTGCTGCCTCTTCATAGAAAATTCTACAATTTTTTGGAATTGAATTTTATTTGTAAATAAATCTTTTGAAAAAGCTTCTTCTTGAGCGAATAGAAAAAATTATCGCAAGATCTTAGATAGTTAGCAATGCAGGCATACATCGAGCGGCTATGTTAAACGCTGTTTCACATCGATCTTTTGCCGCTTGAAGAGCTAGCTCGGTTTCGAATGTTTCATACAAAACTTTTTCCTAAAAATTTTCTCAGTGGAATTTTTCGAAATTTTGTACTGAGTATTTTTTTTATTTTCTAATTTAAAGAAAAAAATCTTATTCAAATGTAAATATGTAAATCAATATTTGTAAATTACTTTTTTATTCAATAAAATATTATAATAAATCGCCTAAATAACATATTTTGCATAAATATTTCACTCAAACATTCTACCTTAAGTTACAGTAAAAGTATCTTTTTAATTATTATGCTTTTCTCGTCGTATACCTTATAGCTAAGTTTTTCACTTGATCACGGCGATGGTCTAAATAATAAGTAAAAAATTATCAACAATTAAACGTTTTCTGAAGGGCTTTCTATCCGTGAGAGATCTCTTATGAGAAGTAGACATGTGATTAAAGTTTGATCCACTCGATTTTTATGTCAAATTATTATCATGAACAAATTTTCATCATAAAACATTAACAAGAAAAGTTTACATTTCCTGAGAAACCTTATACGCAGTGGAATCCAAAAAGTAAACCTACGTGGTCCATAGTTGGTAAAATTGATTCCTTTTTAAATTTACTTTCACGAATCAATTTTTGCTATGAAATGTTGAAAATTAGATATGTATACAGATTCACTTTTGGTTGAAACGGTTATGCATGACGTGGCTCAATTCAGAACGTCAAAGTATTATTACTCAACGAATTTGGTCGGAAAATTTTGAAAAATGTAATAGTAAAGCTTTATAAAAGACCCACTCGCTTCAATTACATCGATAATTCCTTATACAGTTTAGATAAGCCATTTTTGGTTCATTTTCATTAACAGACTCAGGTTGTGGTGTGTACGATTGCTTTGCGCCTAACAGCGGGCCAGCGAGGTAAGTAAGCAAGGCTTAGGAAGCAGGAGGCAGTTTTACTAATGAAAAAAAAATTTAAAAGGTTAAAAACATACACGTAGGCGCCGGAATCCCGTTTTGTACCTATTTCCTCTACTTACGTTTCAGATATCAACTTAGGGATTCAATACGTAAAATTCTCAAATTTGAAACTTTAATTTTATGAACTCTGCCCGCAAAGTTCCTTGCTTCCATGATCTTGTATGATTGTCAATCCCTAACTTTTATACGTACATCGACAGATACGGATTGTTACATCGACAGAATGTTGGTTAAGTTAGGTGAAATCTTTTTTACTACAGAATAACTGAGAAAAAGGTGTGCTTTTGCCTTATTTTCCCTTATGATAGCTACATCAGTATTTGCATGATTTAATCATAAAATGAAAAGTCTTGTGCAGGGCGAACGTCCGCTGAAGCTCTTTCAAATGTGTTTCCCTTCAAAAGCATTCCATTCGAATTAATTTAGAATTACCTTATAATATATATAATATTTAATATATAATATATAATATATATAATGTTGCAGTCATTGTATCAACCTTTTCAATTTTCATCGTTGTTAGAGTTTTGATGTTGCTCATCGCTATTGGTTTCTTATTCCATTTGTCGTATCTTTGCTTTTTTTCACACTTTTCCGCTTCGGTGCGTCTTTTGTGTCTACCTCGAAAATCCTATGGTTCTCGATCTTCGCAATTCGATGGAGAATGCTGAAGAAAACGCTCCGTTTATTAAAGGTAATAGTGTTACTGCTGTTGTGCTGTTGTGACTTAGAGTTTCTTTACTTTAGTTTTACCTTTCTATTCACTTAACATTCACGCTTTATGCAACATAATTTTTGTGTTTTACTGGTGTTATTAAAAAAAAAAAATTTTACGAGAATTTAAATAATTTTAAAAAAAGGAAGAAGGGAGGGGAAAAAAAAGAAAAAGTAAAAGAAAGTAACCAAATTTTTTTTTAAAAATTTAATGGAAGAAAGGGAGAGAAGCAAGAAGAAGAAAGTGAGAGAAAAATTAAAACAATATATACCTTAAATTTTTTTATTTTTCCATTCTAATTTCTTTTGTTGTTCCCCGTGATAACAACCAAAAAAACATCAGCCCCTATTCCTACGGAGACTGGGTCTGATCTTATAAATACTAATAGAGACTGTTTTGAAAACATGAATGCCACTTGGCATGGATAGCCTGAAGGGTTTCACCATGTACAGCTCACAAGACCTAAAAGTAATCAGCAGGGGCAGAGCCAAACTGCTTTTCAGCTCTGCTGGCAACAACTTTGTCACAAATAACGATTTTTCTAGAAAGAATTTGAAGGCGTGCATACTAAGATCGTTCACTGAGAGATTCGTCCATGTATATACAGCGCAGAGGATATACTTAAAAACGCCGTATCCGATATTCCGATCACCTCCGCTGTCCGTTTTCAAAGAAGGAATCCCAACAACAAAGATGAGTAGATTCCCAAAACCAGCATCAAAATCGGCCTCAAAGAGAAAGTCCTCCACAAATCAAGCAAATTTAATTATTGTCATCTTCCGGTTGAGTACTTTGCAATAGCAATTCTTTAAGTGTGGTAGAAAATCTCCGAGGTGTGTGAACTGTGACACGATGAAGTGGTTGTCCTGTGTGTGTCAGGTGAACACAACACTCTCAGCAAGTGTTGCCCGAACAGGGAACTCGAATCAAACATCAACAGAATCGTGGCAGTTAAAAATCTTTCGTATAAAGAGGTAAAAGAGAAATTTTCCCCAAATTACTGCGAATGTCTTGACGACATCTCCTACGATGACAATTTCTCTCCATTAGGAAACGCGTCTGCCAATTCGAGCAAGGAGGACAATGAAAATGCCAATAAAATTTTAACCAAGAATAAATTTAATGGTGTCGTCAAAAGGCAACCGGTTCTTCCCAATTTTGGATCTAACTTTCTCGAATTCAACTATTTTATCATTCAACTGGAACACGACAACGTTTCCATTGGCAAAAGTCACCACTCTCCCATTTTATTCCACAGTTGCAACAGTTCCGTTAAGAATATAGAAAAATTCATTTCACGCAACTTTCTTTCGTCTGCTAGAACCAACTTTTCTGACATTGAGTCCTTCTCACCTAAACCTTGGCAGAACTTTTCCCTGTCAACACTCTTCCGCAAATACCAAGCTGCAAGGAAAAAAATGGCTAAATATGCCAATCCAGCCAACTACATTGAATATATGAAAAGTTAGAAAGGCAAAAAGGATACATAGAGCTATCGAAATTAAGGAGTTATATGGTAACGGTAACCCACGTTCTTTCTGGAATTACATCAATGGTCATCGACATACTAGTCGAAAATTAGGCGGTTGTGCTGTGTAGAATGACCATAATAATAAAAGATACTTCGATATGCTCAAGAGCTACATTCCAAATATCAATCCGATTACAATACCTCAAGAGCTACATTCCAAATATCAATCCGATTACAATACCTTCAATTCCTTTTATTAGTCTCAACAACACACCTTTTTCATTGCATGAGCTAATGCGTGTTTTACATTCCAGAAAGAAGGATACTGCTGCAGGTTGTGATGGAGTTAAGTACGACATGCTCAGAGCACTGTCTGGACGAAGCTTTAGCATTCTCTTGCATGCAATTAACAACTGCTGGTTCACCAACTTGATATCCTCAGATTTGCGATGCATCGAAATAGTTTCCATTGCTAACCCAGGTAAAGATTTAAATGATATAAGTAACTTCAGGCCAATTTTACTAATATTTATGTTCATAAAGACTATCAACCTCATGGTTAAGGGGAGACTAAGTGATTTCTTGGAAACTGAGAACATTATTCCAGCTCGTTCTTACGCCTATCAAAAACGCAAATGTACGAATATGTGCGTTAACGAACTAGTTAGCTTAAAAAAGCATAGTTAGATTAAAAAAAGCAGGTAAAATGGTTGTCATGCTTTTCTTGGACGTCAGCAAAGCCTATGACGGTGTCAACTTGATTAAGCTTGGTAGAATTCTCTTAAATTTTTCGATTCCTCTTCAAATACGACTGTGGATACTTAATTTTTTATTCAAGCATGTGCTGGTGATCGGTACTGAAAAAGTTGGAATATGTGGTGGTACCCCACCGAGCAGTTGCTTAAGGCCCATACTCTTCAATCTATACACAGCCTCTTCGCATGATCTTCTAGATGACAAAACTCACATTTTCCAATGTGCAGATGATTTCCTAATTGTATCTGCGGTCTCATTTTTTCAGTTTCTACCAATAATCTTCCGATTAAAGATAATTTTCTTTTCGATGCATGCGCCGATTTTAATTTAACCTCAGCAAAACAAATACTATTTATTTCACCGAAGATTCCAAACCGAAATCAGAGATACTAAAGTTGATCAGGTGAAATCTCTTCAATTTCTTCGTAGAATTTTAAATGGTAGCTTAATCCTTCGTGGGCATTATGGGAAAGCCTTCAAAGACTGTTAATCTGGATGTAACATTATCAAACTCTTGACTAACAATCAGTTAGTCTTGCCTCCCAAAAATGCTTTGACTGTATACAAATCCTTAGTCAGCTCCAAAATTGAATTTGCACATTCCACATGTTGCAATTTCCCAAAATATATTGGGAAACGTATACAAACATTTGAAAATCGAATGTTAAAACGTTGTACTGAACTGACTCCCCAACCACTCAACATATTTTTAATGTCATATCTGTTTCCAAAAAATATAAGAATTACATTTTAGATGGTTTCGGTACCTAACCTAATCTCAGTTTTTAAAATTAATAATACAAATAAACGATTAAAGTGATATTCAAATGAGGGCGCTTTATTTTCTCATTCTATGAGGATACTTTAAGCACCAGTAGTATTATACGCTGCATCAATCGAATTCCAATTTCTTGAAATTTCCTTGTGTTCCAAACAAATCTGAAGCTTCTTTCGGTTTACCTGGGCGCTGCTTCTCATCGATGCGGTAGAATTTTTTGTATTCTATGATTTCTTGATGTTTGCTGATTATCATACGACGCGATCTTTCGTGTATTTGTTTTATCTCAACTTCTGATCCACCATAATCTTTGGGTAACACATCAAGTGGAACATATTGGAAAAGGTCTTCTAATTTGTTATGAAAATGAAAAATGTCAAATAATTCCTTTTTCATAAACGGGGTACACAGGGCTAAAAATTTGTCTAAAAATGTAACAACGTTAATGAAATGAAAGGCTTTCAATTGGAAAGGTAGCGCTTCCTATTGAGCAGAAGAAAATTAAGATAAAATATTTTAGAGCTTTTCGAAAAATTAATGCAACGAGTGTACCTGGAAGTAATAAAAAGCTTTTTTCAACAACATAATATTAATCCGACTTAAGTGTCCCAACGTGAAGCCACTCTGATCGATTATCAGGATATAGCCTTTCTGTAATCCAACCTTTCGAATGAAAATATCTGTGAACAGTATATATCTGTGACAAGAATTTCAGTTTTATGAATTAATTAGTGTCTAAATAGTGTTTAGCGAATTAAGTTGAAAATAATTTTTTGTGAATGAAATGGTACGTTTACAATAGCATTAAATCAAATTATAACACAACTTACACCTTTATTATATCTGGAAGGTTAAAGTTAGACACATCGCAATCAAGGAATTTGAACACAAGCACGCGATATCCTTCTGGGGTTAATGTTGGTAACGGAGCGAGTGAACTAAAATGGTGTTAGATTGCATAAACTTTAATAATTAATCTAGGATTTAATGTATCTATATCGAGACAAGCGCAGAAGAGCTTCTCACTAATAATTAACAAATCAACATTTTTTTAGGAAAAGAGCTTTTTAGGCAAAGGTTCCATATTTCCTCTTTCGGCTAAAATTTTAGTGATTTAGGTCACTTCTCTTTAGTGACGTTGTTTTAATCCAATGGAACGACATTTTGTTGGTTTTTAGAAGAAGGAGTTTCTTTTTTTCCTCATTTATCAAAATTCTGAAGTGGTTAAGCCATGTCTGTCTGATTTTTAATAGAATTTGTCCTCGATTGAAAACAGATCAGTGTATTAAATTTCGTCAAAACATTTTAAAAGTGGCGTGCAGTAGTAGTGCGAACAGGAAAACGAATGGACAGGCAGGAGACGGATTGACGCACAGATGAACCCAAGCCGATTAGGATAATGATTTTAATTCGATCGTTATAATAGAAAGTAAGTCTATCTTAAGCGCTTTTGGCTATATTATAATATATCATTCAATAAACGTTCGGTCAGTCATATATATATGGCAACACTTTTGACAGACGCTAATTATGTCAACATTTTGATGAAAAAAAATTCCGTTAACAATCAGCGTTAGTTGCAAAGGTGTTACAGCGATTTTTGCCGGTTGAAAAATAATTTTATCGGTGGTTTACTAAAAGTATCAAAACACAGCCCTTTTGCCATTTACATGGGCATCCGTCAATGAGAAAGGTTTGTTCGAAGGCAGTGCTGTGTTTGCTTAACTTTGAGCAGAAACAACTACGTGCTTGGAGCTGCTTAGCTGAAATGAACAGGAATACGAAATATGAACTTATCACTATCCACTTCCAGAGTCAAAACGACTGAACAGCAAATTGACGAAGAAAGCACATGTCGACTTGGATGGTTATGACGTCCCCATTTTGGGATAAGCGGAGGATAATGGTCATCGACTATAATGACGAAGGATCAATCGAGAATATTATTTAGCATTACGTGCGCTTGAATGACGAAATTGCAAAAACAGGAAGCTAGACCGGAGACTTATTGGATAATGTGACATCGGCTTACACTTAGCACGATGGTATGAATGGTGTCGAGCACAAAAATGTTGAGAGATTGTTGGATAATTTTAAAAATAAAAGACCCAAGTCAAAAAGGTTTTTTGTGATATAGGTACAGTACTTATCAATTGTTAATCAATTTTATCAACACTATGTTAGATGCAAACTGCATCTACACAGCAGCTTAATACAGCTGGAATGGAATTACGTACCGGCAATGAGTTTATTATTATTTGTGTGAAAAGTATACTGTAAACGTGCAGTTTTAACAGGTGTTCTTGTGTAAATTTTGTATTTTTAACAGAGTTTTCGTTTGTTTGTGCCTTTTATGAAAATATACCCACTGTATGTTTGACTTTAGATTACGTATTATCTACCAAATATTTATAGCGCGTTGAAATTGTGGACTTTGAACGTTTAAATCGCTGAAGAGTTCTTCGACGTGAGTGTGCCATGTCAAATTTTTATCTATCACTTGCTTCGTGACCTCCGTACTGCATTTGCAAGCAAAATAGAAAAGTAAAACTTCAGCTTCACTCAAGTTTGGCATATGTGGTTGATTGTGCACCCATGCAACTATTTTCTGAACATCTTCAACCTTGACTTTTGGAAAGCGAGCATATTGCTCAGTGAGGTCGAAATCAATACTTAGCATAATGTAAATCGAATAATTTTATCAAACTTTTATATTATATTCACACTCGGGCTAATCACTTAAAACTAAGAAAGAAACACTAACTGGAAGCTTTTTATAGAAAAACATCGTTATAACTTATTAGCATTCTCTTTGTTGTTGAATGCATTTAACTCTTATCATAAAAAGAGTTAATAATTTTACATTTCATTATTGTTTGTCTGATCTTTTGCGAAAAGAAAATATATGAAAGTATGTCTAAATAAATGCAGAATCCTTTTGAGTGTATTTACGTAAGGACATCGGCTGCATTTTGAAAGTCAAATTTTAAAAAATAATCAACTGTACGAGCATTAGGCTTCCACTTCTGTTTCAATTAAAAAGTTCACTTAATGGTGAAATGAATTCAGAGTCTTATGCTGCTCATGAGAATAAAATCTTTAATAAATCTTTAAGCTTAATTGGCACATTTCCAAATTTTACATAGGAGAGTAAGAAGTTAACAGTCGGTGGATGGAATTAAAATCATTGCTTCAATTAATTACTGGTTATGCAAGTTTTTCATTTGCTATTGTTTTTATTAGTTTCGATTAGCAATTTTTACAGAAGGTACGAAGTTCAAGGAACTTGCGCAAAGCTTATTAACTTCTGCTTGTTTTTCTAAATAAGACGACAAAGTTCAATACTAGAAATAATTTTACCAAAACGCAATGAAAGATTCTCATCATTTAGTTGGTAAAGTTGCTTGACAGGCATGTCCATTGCTTGCTTCTTTGTCGAACTATGTTCTTAGGTAAAAGGCTTTCTGAAGCCCAATAATTTCAATAAGTGCCCTTTAAATAGCAAGAGTCGGAATTGCAAGGTGTAAAAACACAGGCTTGGGTCCAAAAAGCCATATACTGGAATATAATGCAAACTTTTTCTTACTCTTATTACTTTGTTTTTTATATTGCAGATGAAATTTTCCGGCAAAGTACCCTTGATTATTAAATTAGCGTATGTTCATGAGAACATGATTAGCTTCCCTTTTAGCTTGCAACGATCACGAGATATAATAAATAAATTCGTTGAAAAGCTTTATATTTCCTTATCCGGCATTCACATTATAGGACTCAATTCCGTACTTTGATAGAAATAACTGCAAAACCTCGCCATTTTTACTTCCCTGAACTAGCGAAGAGATCTCTACTTTCCCCAAGTGCTCCGTCTTTTTTTTTGTTTTTGCAACGCAAGTCAGGTAATTAAATGATTTTCATAATCAATGCGGGTACAGTTTATTTTATTGTCAAAATAGTTAAATAAACATGAGAATAATTATAAAATTAACTACAATTAACAGTTTGTTTACCATATCCAGACACTTATTTGTTGCTTACACTCTAATATATTTAATAAGCTGTAGTGTTTGCAATCTACGTTTAGAGTAATCATGACAGAGATTGAGTCTGTATAACACATCTTCCAAAAGAAAGCTAAATCGACTATGGTAACGTTACTAAGTAAGTAATCATTATGTTATCATTGTGTTTATTTATTCGAATTTTCGTTTTGTTCAAATTTTCGTTTGAAGGTATACAGTTTCACTGAACTTTTAGGAAGGATTTGGAGGATGTTAAGCATTTTATACAATTTTAAATCTCTGTTAGGGATGATATTTCTTACACAAAATTTATTTCATTCTTAGGTTTGATATATAAAAACACTTCCTCTTATCTCGCTTCTTCGGTCTCCTCAACGTTTATTTTAATCGATATCCAATTTCTTGAAATTACCTTGAATACCAAATAGATCTGCAGCATTTTTGGGTTTACCCGGGCGTAATTTCTCATCAATGCGGTACAATTTTTCATGTTCTATGATTTCTTGATGTTTGCTGATTATCATACCACACGATCTTTCATACAATTGTTTTACCCCAGCTTCTGATCCCCCATAATCTTTAGGTAATAGATTCAGTGGAACATATTGGAAAAGGTCTTCTAATTTGTTATGAAAATGCAAAATGTCAAATAGTTCCTTTTTCATAAACGGGGTACACAGGGCTAAAATTTTGTCTAAAAATGGAACAACGTTAATGAAATGAACGCCTTTCAGTTGTATAGGTAACGCTTCCTATGCAGCAAAAGAAAATTAAGATCAAATATTTTAGAGCTTTTCGAAAAATTAATGCAACGAGTGTACCTGGAAGTAATAAAAAGCTTTCTTCAACACCGTAACATTAATCCGACTTAAATGCCGCAACGTGGAGCCAGCCTGATCAAATACCACGAGATAGCCTTTCTGTAAACCATCTTTTCGAATGAAAATATCTAAGAACAGTAGATCTCTGTGACAAGAATTTCAGTTAATTAAAAATAAATAGCGTTTAAATAATTTATTTGATGTATTTATTAAATATATTTCGTTAGAGACTATGTCATTGATGAAAGTCGGGACTTACATGCTGATGGGTGAATAAGCGAACATATGCATTTTTTTAAATAATTATAATAAATTACGCAAAAACTTTCTTATGCGAATACCACAATATGTCAATTTATAAAGTATTTGAATACAAATTTTTCAGTGCTAGGAAACACAATATGTAATAAAATAAAAAACTAAGAGTTTCATTATGTAAACAAATATCTGAGACCAGAGATAAACAATTTGAATAAATTTAGTTTGACTGGTTTTTAATTGCATTTGAATGAAGTATGAAATGAAGTACGGCAGTTAATTACTTCAATATCTATATAACGATTTTAACCATGCAAGCGTGAGCGGGTACCAGAAGGCGAGTAAGCGATAATAATTGTTGATCAAAACTCATAATTGTGGTAGCTTTAAGGGACCCACAAGCCTCCAGACCCTACTGAATATATCAATGGCTATATGTTATAACAAAGCAGGCGAGTAAACATCTCTCTTTGTTAGCTTAAAAATAACATGTCAAGCCAATCTATTGTCATTCAGTGAAAGAGATAAGGCAAGACCCCATCTCAAGTAGGTCAACATGGCATCTTTAGCTAGAAAGATAGACAACGGCGAAGTATTGGAGCGTTGTTCTAAGTGGAAATATGTAGATACTGTTCATAACATAGGATCATTAAATTCCTTAGATCATTTAAGAAGGCATATACTTTTATCAACTGACACTTCAGTATGAATGTCGAACGTGAGGCTTGAATCGAAAACTTGCGATAACAAGACGCAGCCATACAACGAAATGACATAGTCTATCATTATAATAAAATATTAAATCAAAATATAAGACAACTTACAGCTTTACGCGCTCTGCAAAATCATAATTAGAAGGATCGAAATCAAGCAATTTGACGAGAAATACACGATATCCCTGTGGTGTTAACGTTGATAGCGGGACGATCGCACTAAAATGGTGTTGGAAAATATAAAAAGAAGAAAGTTTTTTACGCATTTGCAAAATAATTAATTTTTGCATTTAGATTTATTTTACTGCTAGATGACATAATGGGTTAAGGGAGAGTAAGTGTGCGAAAATCTTGTTTACTATTTGCTTCGATGAAAACCTTTTTGGGAAAAGGAGTCGATTACTTTGAAACCCCAAACCAGAAGCTAACAAATAAACGGCTCTTATGGATCAAATCTATGTGAAAGAGTTTCATATTGTAAAATCTTTGGTGATATAAGAACAGTACAAGAACAGCGATTAGTGGAATCGCGGATACTCATGAAACTGGTTGCATTACTCTGCTGCTAGATTTCTGTAACTATAAGGTAAATACGAAAGAGACTGCAAAAGATACCGATGTCCAATACATTAAGCAGCGATAGGAAAAATGATTCGAGAAGCAAGGGTCACAAACTAATCATCAGTGACGCAGCGCTCAATGGAGATAGTGTTGTACATTATCCAACTGCATTCTTGAGTTCACTTGATTTGCCAGGAATGTCATACACACATCTTACAGCCCAAAGTAGATGTTGAAACCATTCTACTATAGAACATCAACCCACCTCTCCTTTGCAACAGTACCAATTTGATCGTTAAAATAAGATGAATCATCTAATCGAAATTGTTATTTTGAATGAGTGATTCGAAGTAGAAAACGTTTGACATAGCCATCTGTAGCCTGTTCACTTTTTAGAAGACCCATCATCGAAGGATTGTTGTTTATTCATTTTGTCAAAGCTCCCGCAATACCCAGAAGAAATCTTTAAAGACTCTGCAAAGAATTCATCAGAATCAAATTCTATTTCAATTTGATTATATACCTGCGCCCGTCTATTGTAAGCATTCTTTTTGCCCAAAAAACTGAACTATTAGCTTTAGATTCAGCAGAGACAGTGGAAGTTCTTGCATCTGGAGAGATGTTAACTAATGGTCAAACGGGTTTAAGAATACCCGATAAAGCCACGTAAACCGGCAGCTTCTTTTAATTTGCAAAGAAGGATGAAATTGTTCGTTCATTACTCGCAAACTACAGAAGATGAATCTAGAAAAATTTGGCGGTATATTCTATGCTATAGTACCTGTACACAAATCTGTATAAGCATGCCCTAAGTTTGCCTGTGTGGTCATCCTTGCACCTAACCAACTGTGTCGTAGCCGTTGAAAACATTTGGAAATATCGGTCAAATCGGTTAAAAGACAATCCAAACTGCACAGATACGCGATATAAATTTGCAGTTTCGTTCCTTTAAATAAAAAATCACCCGACCCCTACTAACATTACATGCTGTGAAAATGTAATCTTTTCAGTCTCTTTTAGGGCGGCGGCGGTGTCTCACAAGCAAATATAATTTTTCCACTTCTTTGTAAATGCGGCAGATGGAAAAACAATATAAAAAAAATGTGTTGAACATCAAAATGCATTGCTTTCACCTAACATTTCTATCTATTCCAAGGAGAAGAAGTTCACTGGATCCCTAAGGCTATGCGAAATTCCCGCCTGAACAGCAAGCATGAATAGCTAGAATGCAACACATTTATGAGATCTAGTTTGTCATTCCTCCTAGATTTAATATGTGGATTCGCTATTAACGTAAGTACGATATTTTTATTTTTCATTCACATTTTACTTTTCTGTGACGCGTACGACGCGAAATGTATCCATTGTATGTTTGATTTTAGGATACGTATTACTTACGCAACATTTATAATACGCTGAATTTCTTGACTTTGAACGTTTAAATTGCTGAAGAGTTCTTCGATGTGCGTGTGACATGTCAAATTTTTATCTATCACTTGCTTCGTGACCTCTGTACTGCATTTGCAAGCAAAATAGAAAAGTAAAACTTCAGCTTCACTCAAGTTTGGCATATGTGGTTGATCGTGCACCCATGCAACTATTTTCTGAACATCTTCAACCTTGACTTTTGGAAAGCGAGCATATTGCTCAGTGAGGTCGAAATCAATACTTAGCATACTGTAAATTAAACAATTTTTATATTATATTCACACTCGGGCTAATAACTTAAAACTAACTAATCAACCTTAACTGGAATTTTTTTATATGAAAACATAATAATAAATCGTTAACGTGCTCTTTGGATTCATATCTTTCGCATAACATTTTTTCTCGCAAATAGTTGCATTCTGGTCGGCTGATCGGTGCCCCTATCATATAATGATATGAGTGCGCCTTTATCAAACAAATTTGCGATTTAATATAGTGAATGCCCTCTATAGTTTTAATGCGATATCTGATAATGCTTCGTGCAGTTGCGGAAGTATGCTTTCCGCTGTAAGCCTTTTAAGGTATGAAATATAAAAAATAAGAGTAGAGCAGTGTGTTTTGCTGCAAGTGAATAAAATAATGCCGATGGTAATGGATGGAATATTCGAAATATTATCATAGGTACCATCGTCCGATTTCAGGTCAACTCAATCCATATTGAAAATTAATAAAAGAAAAAAAATAAATAAAATATCAAGTTTATTAAAAAAACAATCTATGAAAGTATGTCTGGATAAATGCAAAATGCTTTTGAGTATATTTACGTAAGGCAATCAACTACGTTTTCAAAGCGAAATAATAAAAGACAACTAAGTGTAAGTGCATCAAATTTCCCCTTCTATTTCAATTAAAGAGTCTACTTAATCGCGAAACGAACTCAGTGTCTCATGTTGCTCATGAGAAGAAATATGTTTTGAGTCTTTGGGCTTGTTTCGCATATTTCTAAATTTTGCATCTGGGATTAAGAAATTAACATTCGATGGATGAAATAAATTTATTGTTTTAATTACTGATCATTCAAGTTTTTCATTTTCTTTTGTTATTATTAGTTGTGACTTGTAATTTTTATAATAGGTACGTAGTTCAAATAACTCGTGCAAACTATTTCTTTAAATCGTTTCTTTGTTGTCTTTCTAAATAAGACGACAGAGTTGTCAAGTGCCACAACCCAATGAAAAATTCTCATCATCTAGTTTGTAAGTTGCTTGTCAGGAATGTTCTTTGCTTCCGCCTATTTCCAATTATGGTTTTGAATAGCGTGCGTTCTCAAGCCTCATTATTTCAATGAATTAAATTGTAAGAGTCGAGTTTGCAAGGTAACAAAAAGCGGCCTCGCCTGTATAAAAATGTACTTTACCCTGAAATTTTTTGCTTATTCGTACCGGTTAGTGTTTTTTATTGGGAATTAAACATTGGAAACAGTTCAACAAATGTTAATATCAATGTTAATATATATTAACGGAAGATTTTAAGTCTATTTAGCAATATTTCTCTGTCGCATTTCCCTTCATTCTAATTGTTGTGCTCTACAAAGCTTGTAATGTAAAATGGGAAGAGAGCTTCACAGAGCAATTCTTTTAAGAGGAAAAGGCGGATGCACTTATTCTAATTCAGTTAAACTTATCTCTACTTTCGTATGCATGAGGCACTTATATTATCGTCTTTCCTTCTTCGCCAACGAATTAATGTTATTGTCTAGCCATCGTCCGTGTCATTCGTGCACCGTCGACTGGCTTTTCCGAGTCGTAACATTCTCGGTTTCTCTCCTTCTTTGTCTCTCTCGGTCTTCATCTCTCTACGTATGTTCTGTCGATTTAAGCATATGCACGCTTAGAATGAATAAATTGCAGTTCATTTTTTTCAGAAGTAATGTAAAAAACATCAGTTTCACCATGACCGCACACTACAGTATAGTTATGCACGAAAAAGCGTTCAATAATTCTTATTCATATCAACCAACGCTTCGTGAGCGCCTTTCAATTCTCGAACTACAACAAACAACATACCTTAAGTAGGACAGTAAGGCCTTAAAGCGAATATTGCAGCTCTTAACTCTTCTTTGTACGATTAATTGATCTTAAAAAAAATAATAGATATCTGGTGGTCAATTTTGGTTTAAGAAAGTAGATTGTTGCTCCTTAAAGCATTTTTTATTTATTTATTTATTTATTCTACTTATACAAGAAACTCAACTAAAACAAATTGACAGTCGAGTTCAATTGACTCTTAAAGTAAATCTTAAATTAACTAATATTAAAACTTAGTATAAGTACAATAAAACAAATAAGACGGAAAAAAGAAAAACGCATGTACACAGCTAGCATAGAGCCACACCTACAACCGGTACAGGACCAAATTGCAAACGAACCCCTAAGCCATCGCAAACATACATAAGCCGCGTAACCGATAATAGTTAACAACAATTCATTTTCGAATCGTAGCGACTTTTTAAGGTAAAGAGCGACGAGATAGGTAAATTACATGCATTAAGCAATATTAGCAAATTCAAAAGAATCTACAACACTAAATTTATCAACAAATTTAAGAAATTTAAGAAAACTTCTCCGTTACGTTGTCACTGTAACACGAGAGAGGAAAAGATCAAGAGAACCCAAAACCAAACTGGAAGCACGAAAAAAAGAGAGAATAAAAATCAGAAAAAATTATCTCTTAAATTACACGTAAGATTTACACTACTGAAGCAACGGTGAACAAGCCAAAAGAAAAGCTATTAACACCAAAGGAAGAAAAAAAAACAAAAAAAACCCAAAAGAGGTTTACTATTGCGAGCACAAGTGCTAATCGCAAGAACCAAAATGAAAATCATAAAATTTTAATGTAATTAATGTAATTCTTACACTTTTATATTATTGCAAATACTTAGCTTTAAACGCGTATAAAACGATAAAAAAATTTAAGTAATAGAACAATCAAAAGCGTACGTCTCTCTCAGTTGCCCGACTGACACGTGCGACGGATCGATGTGTAGATGAATAATTGAGCATGAACACACGAAGAAGATGAATTTCAGATTTTACGCACCCGAGAGTCGGTGTTATGTATAATGCGTAAAGAGCTTGTGTGTATTTATTCTGTCATCATCTTTCCAATGTAGTCAACTTCCATGATTTCATCTCTTTTTCAGTTTTTTGTAAAATATGCTTGGTTTCGTTCCTTTCTTAACAGCACATATCGATCGATCATACGGTTTGTTAGCTGAGTCCGAATTACAGGATTGGCGCAATTTTAGTGAAGATCTCCTTTAATAAATACGAACTTAGGTAAGATCTATAGACGTCGGCCTCCTGGCAATATTGGCACTTGTCTTGTAGCAATTTTTATATATTGGTAAAACTCTGCAAAGAGTTAAGAAACCTATATTCCCCATAGTTAGACGATTCCTGGGTACAAACCTTATGTAAATGCAAACATAGTAAGATGCCAATCGGAGATATTGCCTGTAACATAAATGTGGATTTGATAGGAATTTTTGGTAAACTTTTCCTCATTGCTGCTTGTTACACCTCCTAAGATGTCAAGTGAAGAGTTCGGAACTTATCTCATTTAAAACTTAATTAAAAATTTTTGTTTTGATTCTTCTGAGAGAAAAATTCCAAAGGTCTATAGATCTAACGCTATCATGTTAATCGACACAAAATCTGAAACTGTATCAGTCTTTACTTTCTGAAGAGGTCAAAGTCTGCCACGAGTGGTGTTACAAACAGAATGAACACGTTAACAGACTTCGCTTCTTAGCTAGATCGATATGTTGTTAACAAAAGCCATATGCTTGAAAAGCAATTTGAAAGGATAGCTGTATTTTTTTTTTTCTGAATAAAATATATTCATCGAAACGATGCCTATATATGTACAAATATACAAAATAGACAAGCAATTGATTTTACACTACACAGATATAGCCATGGATATTTTTCTAAGAAGCAAATTAAGTACAATTGATTACGCAGCACTGCATATTCTTCTCAATTCCTTTCGCCATTTCGAGGTTGCGCCAATAATCTTTACCAATGGATAGTATCATTTCCAAATATTCCAAAAACGATTTATAAGTAACTTACTGCAGATTAGAGCACTCAAGACGATGATGATAGTTGCATCCTTTATCAAAGAACCATTGGCGTTGCACAGGGGTTAAGAGTTGAAAACGTTCTAAAAATTGAAAAAAATCTTCACGTTTTTCTCCGTAACAGGATTGAGTAGTGGTATATGTTATGTCGTCATTGATCATATTTCTAACTTCACGGCTTTTGTGATGGTATACGATTGGATGTTAGCCGAGGAACCGTTCGTTCAGCGTTAGGGTATTTTAGAGCTATTTAATGCCGCAAATTTCTTACGTATCAAAGAGTTAATCAACCAATATTGGCTGTGTTTGGATGACGATGCACGTTTTCGTGAAGACACTGCCTTCCTACTGCATTTGAAGGCACGTAAATATTGTTTAGAAAGTTTAGAGCAATTGATGTTGATGCGCATAAGCAAATTCTTTTTGGATTTCGTCGCTTCTAAAGAATTTTTAATATTATCAGCTAGAGACTGGTGCGCTTTGCTGATATCGAACACAATTGGAGTCAATTCTGAAACTAAGATTTTCATGTCTGTTGCACGTTGGTTAATCATATTCTTTAATAATTTGTAAAGGTTATCTTTCAGCGGTTGCACTATCTTCTCCCAACCTTCGACTTCATTTGATTTGGAGCCCATATCCAATAAAGATTTCTTGCGTAGTTGACAATCGGATGCACGAGCAATAGTTTCACTTTCATTGTCGGTTAAGGGCAGTGTTGGTGGTAAGATCTTGTTTGGAGTGTTGTTCAAAATTTAGATTTTGGATTTTTTGAGAGTCTAGAAGGGCGTCCTTAGCTTGATCTGATGACTCTGAGTTATCAATAAAATTGGCCTTAGCATATTTCAAGTTATCAATATTATCGGAATATGGTGGAGAAGCCGTGGTAGTATCCGTTGTGGATATCGATGAATCATACTTATGTACCTTGCTTTTCTTGTATCCAGATTCTTCCATATTTTTTTTAATTTTATATGCACTAATACTGTTCACAAAAATATACCAAAAGTCTTTGGAAAAAAAAATAAAATTAAAATTATTAGAAATTCTAATAGACATCCAGTCTACCATTAGTTTTGACAACAAACAAAATTCAATGTCTACTAATTCATTCATTTCGAAAACTCTTCAACCATTTTCAAAACAATGGTGTAATGATTTTAATAAGTCGATAAACAATCGATCAATAAATAATAACTTGTAGTAATAATTTATTCATTGATGAAACTTTATACAAATCACCAAAGTAAATCGGAAGCATTGCATATATAATTTATAAAACATTAACGTATATGAAATCGATGTTTCTGTTCAGTATTGAGTTATTATAGCGATTTTCCCGAAGTTTTTATCTCACTTGAGCGCTTATGAATGAATTCGATCAATGCAATTGATTTATTTATTTTAATTCTACTTATACATGAAACTCAACTAAACAAATAACAGTCGAGTTCAATTGGCACTTAAAGAAAAATTTATATTAATTAATAATAAAAGTTAGTATAAGTACAATAAAACAAATAAGAAGGAAAAAAAACAGAAAAAAAGCATGTACACAACCAGCATAGAGCCGCACTTACAACTGGTACAGGACCAAATTGCAAATGAACCCCTAAGCCATCGCAAACTTGCGTAAGCTTGGCAACCGATAATAGTTAACAACAATTCATTTTCGAATCGTAACGACTTTTTAAGGATAAGGAGAATAATTGATAGACATCATATCGGTGCTTGCACACAACTCTGAGCTTATAAATATATTTACACTGACTAAGCTTAAGCAAGATAAAGTGTCTAGAGAAGCGGTTGGAGACATTAACGCTTATTTCACCAAGTAATGCAGGCGATTCAATAGCACCATTTATTACTTTGATTACGAAGGAAACGCCAAGAACATATCTACGTTTCTCGAGAGACGGTAAGCACAACAGAAGCAACCTATATTCATAGGGGGGAAGAGAGGCAATCGGATCCCAACCAAAATTTCTAAGGGCAAACAGCAAGAATTGCTTATGAACAGATTCAATTGAATCAGCGAAATACTGAGTAATGAATGGCTTTCTTCTTGAGAAAGAAAGCTTCTTACATTTATTTAGACTTAGTTTCAGAAGATTCAAAGAGCACAACGCAACCACATTATTCAAGTCTTGGTATTTAAAAATAAGTAAGTTATGGTTAACCATATCAAACGCTTTGCTTAAATCAGTGTATATTACATATGGGTAGTTTGCTGATAAATCGAAATTAGTAATCGAAAAGTTTCATCGGAAATACTCAGCAAACAGATTTGAGATTCCAAAATCATCCGAGGAATCGGAGCCACTAAAAGAAACATGAGAGGGATATGTGGAAATTTTTCTTTTAGAGTTAACAAATTTAAAAAAGTATTTAGGACTAGCAAACGGAGAGGATTTAATGAACTGAAGGTGTCTGCAGTAATAATGGTGGTTGAGGGAGTTAAATCTATGCCTCGCCATCGAGTAAGCGAAATAGTCGAGCGCAGAGCCAATTTTCGAATATTTTTTGAATAGCGTGTTTCTTCTATTCTTGTAATATTTAATTGTCTTATCAAACCACGGGGGTTACCTGCTTCGAAGTCGGCACTGCTTGATCGGAGAGAAACTGAAGAAACATTTAGTTTTTTGAAGGCGACAGGACTACTGGTTTAGTATTACGGGGTCGATCACGAGTGATAAACTCCTTTATTAAGCATCCAACCGGCCACAGTGGTTTATCTAATAAAATATCAATGTGTTCAGTCGCAAGAGAAATTTTAAAAGAAGCGAATGCTCTAGATTGAGACGGAGCCAATTGAAAAATACTAACCCGCTTTAAATTGACTGATGGGACTTTCGCCACCAGATACCTTTTTATGTTACCCACAGGTGTAAGAGTGGTTCCTATTTATAAAAAGTGTAGAAAGAATAATAATAAGACACGCAGTCAAAAAATAGGGGCGCCCAGCTATACCAATGTAGTCATGAGTAATAAGCTTGTTCGAACACTTTTAAAATGCTGCTTGGCATACATATGATATTAGATTCGTCTTCAAGATATTTATTTTATTAGGACGTTGCAAGTAGGTTGGCCATTTTTTCACTCGAAAAAGGCCTTTACTGACAAAAAGCGGTATGTATTAATCAAAAGTTTTCCATAATTTTCTACAACATTTTACCATATCTCTCGAAACATGGCGATATTGTGTCGAGAGAAGCTATATTGGTTCGGCAGCGGTTCATCCACCGGCCCACTTTTTGCACTTCTTCAACTTCTTCAACTTTGCTGACCCGCGTACTTGCCAGGCAGTGCCGTATCAATCTCGACAAGTGGTAATCAAAAGGTGCTATGTGTGGTGAGAGCGCTGGGGACGGCTGAATTTCCATGGTATGGCAATAGCAGTTTCAGTCGATTTGTGATATACCTACATTTCGTGCTTTCGCACCTTTCCCATCGCATGCTAACGTCTGATTCATCAAGTAATTCACTTGTGTGAAAGTTCTTTGAGAGTTTGAGGAGGGTTTTCGTTCAATAAGTACTCCAATTCATTGTTTTCAAGCTTTTTTGGTCCCCCAAGCGGGCTTTTGTCATTGACATTAAAATCACCACTTTTACCTCTTTCGATAGTGGGTATACAAACACATGCAGGAACAAATTCACGCCATTATTACTGATATGCCGAGATGTGGTTGACTTGCGCAGATTTCTACTTTCCCTAAGGATTCCGATTTTTTTCAATACCAACGAGTTCCATTACCAGCGAGTACATTTTATTTACAACATAGTTGAACAAAAATGAGAGAAACTAGAAAATTGTTCACAATAACAGTTTAATAATAGTTTACCCCCATAACCAGATTCTTATTTATTACGTATTCTTCAAAATTTTTAATGAATTTCTTATATATATAACAAATTATGGGGATTGTAACCTTTTTTTAAAGAAACTATGATAGATATTGTGTCTGTAGAAGGAATTTTCTAAAAGACTTTAGTGGCTTGATTAGATAAGTAATAGAAATATCGCAATTATATTCATTTTGGATAATTTCTTTGGAATTTTCTTTCAAGACAAACAATTTCGCTAAGCTTTTACATGCCAACTTAAGATAATTTTAAGTATGTTAAGCGCTTCAATTTTATACCTATAATAAGATATAATATAGCGTGTATATCCCGAATTTTGTAATTTAATTCATTTTTAAGTTTAATATTTAAGCATATTTCTTCATATGTTATCTTCGGCGCTCTCTACAAATGTTGGTTTAGTCGATATCCAATTTCTTGAAATTGCCTTCTATACCAAATAGATCTGCAGAATTTTTGGGCTTGCCGGGACGAATTTTTTCATTAATGCGAAATAATTTTTCGTATTCTAAAATTTCTTTACGTCGGCTGCGTACTTTATCGTAACAAATTTCACGTAATTGTGCAGATTCCAGTTCTTCGCCGCCAATTTCTCCGGGAAGAATATTTTTCGGAACGAATTTATAGAATTCATCCAAGTTACTGTGAACGTATAACATATCTACAAGTTCCTTCTTCATAAAAGGATACATTAACGCCAAAATTTTATCCATAAATGGAACAATGTTTATAAAATGCAAGCCAATGAGACGAACAGGTAGAGCTTCCTATTTGAGAAAAGAATAATTAATATTAATAAAAGCATTTTCAGGATTTTCTCAAGTACCTGTAAGTAAAATATCAGTTTTTTCATTGTCATAATACCGAGACGAGCCACGTGTCCCAAAGTTACGCCACTGGTATCAAAAACCATTCTGTAGCCGTTGCGAACGTCATCTTCTCGTACAAAAACATCGAGTAGTAACACAAACCTGCCAATCATATATTTTAAGTCCGAACATTATAATGAAAATCAATCGGTTGTCATTCAACAAAGAAAAATTCGAATGAGCTAATAGACAGTTTAGTAGACAAGAGGAGCGAATTTATGTCTACCTTAGGTACCGAAGTATTGCATTCTCGTCGTCAGATCGTATTGAAATAAGAGAAGTCTTCCTTCATGGACATTTCCAAAGAGTAATCGGAGATGATACATTTCTAAAGAAGAGTAGGAGTGAATTTCCAAAACTTTTGTGCTAATCTCTCAAAACCACTTATTTAATATTTATTTGTTTCAATTTACCTGTGGAAGCCACGATTGCGTCTACAAACATTTGAGTGGCTAATGGCCACAGAATTTTGGCTCGATTTTTTATACGTTATTTTCACTAATAGAAAAGTATAGCTTGCGACCAGAAAAGTATAGCTTACAACAAAAAAACATTTCTCATTGATAGAAAAGTATAATTTTATTATTATTTATTATTAAAACACATTTATTAAATGGACATTTTTTACATATTTAGAAAATAATGTTATCATCTCAATGCATTCTACAAGTGGTTTTTCGAAGTATGACGCTCATTTGTTGCACGAGTTCTGATCAAAATATATTGTGCAAATAGTTAGCCTGAATTTGTTTACAATTGAGAGTAATTGAAAAAGTTAGTCTGTATTTGTTAACAGTTTTTTTTTTTATTTTTGGTTTGTTAACCGATGTACGAGAATAAGCGAATACAATTCTCAATAATTCGAAAAATGTGAGAATAAGCGTCTGAATTTGTTTACATTTGTTCAACTATTTGTATAAAAATTGGTAAAGTACGAGAGTAAGCGCATAAAAATTGGTAAAGTACGAGAGTAAGCGATGTAATTCACAGACTCGCTCATTTAATTACTCTCATACGTCGCCAAATTTATAAGAAGCAATTGTATGTTACGAGAATAAAAGAGTAAAAGCAACGTATCAATTCTGTTAAATGAGAATAAATAAGTGAAAGCACCCTAACAATTCTGTTAAATGAGAATAAATAAATAAAAGCACCGAAAAACACCATAGAAATTATTAGAAATTAAATCAGCAACCGTTCAAACATTTTTCAGCATCAGATCCGTTATTTATTTATTAAAAAGAAATTATCGTATGGTGTCCTTTTTCAAGAAATTATGTCGGACCTACTCTAGAGTATTAAGCATTTCTTTCGTCTGGCTTGATACTTATTGCGTTTGTCACATTAAGATATTATTGTTCTGATTTCTTGTATATAAATAATAAATAATGTTAACACTCCTTTCAGTTGCACGACAAATAGTAGATATCCCTTACAGTATGCCGCACATGGGTAGTTTGGATAAATTAGAGATCAGCCAAGCTGACAGTTGAAACAATATCTAATTTAGTGCCTATCGCTTTTATAATAAACAAGTTCAAGTTTAAATAATAATGCGGTATGTTCCAAAGAGAAGAGGCGTATCCAGGGAGAATCCTAGTCATTCAAGATAAATTCAAATTCAAGTTAGCAATACACTTATAACGCATGACGAAAGCTCTTCATATATTATTAACATCACTCACTCGACGCAAACAAAAGTAAACAAATGCATTTTGTAAATTGTACTCAAAAGCTCTGTACATATTGTTAATCCCACTCTCTAAACTTTACACCAATACATTTAAGCGGCTGCATAACAAGTGTGGCAGCAATAAAAACAAGGCCAAAACTCAGATTGAGATTTAAGTCGCCCAGCCGCCTCACCCAACTCTACAGCAATCAAACACACGATAAAACAAAAGAAAAGGGGAAGTACTGGGTCACATCGGAGTTCCTGATGTGCTATACAAAATAGCCTCATGAAACTCAGGCTAAAAAAGTATTCTTCTTTCTCTTATTCAGGGCGAGGACTATAAAATATTGCTAACAGGCCATAACTAATTCAGGTAAAAATGTATGCTTTTTTTTGCATGTAAATAAGTGTTGGCTTCTAAAACATTTTGTTGGTTTGCAATTCAAATTAGTCTCTATAGGAATAGAAAATTGAAAAAAAACCAAAACGCCACCAATTGGTTGTTTATAAATTAAGCGTGAAACGGGACGCAACCAAATAGAATAGAGGAAAGAAAACTGGAGCAGAAAATTTTGCATATAATCTCTTTAAGATACAGTTTATCATGCATATAATATAGGTAACCGTTCGTTCTTGTTCCTTTTTGGAGCAGGTTGCTTGTTCTTGTTCCCTTTTGGTATAGGTTCTTGTTCTTCTTCTTTTTTGCTGCAAGTTGCTTGTTCTTCTTCCTTTTTGGTGCAGGTTGCATAACGTATGGCACACAAATAGTCGATTATATTCCGTCAAGTGACTTCTTATTGCATACTTTTAGGTGGTGCAAACGAAACGAGAAAACCAATTCATATTAAATCCCAACGCACTTAAGAGTTGAATCCACTAACTTGCTGTAAATTTTTTTTCTTTGAAAAACCTTTTGCTACGCCCTTATTTTCCTTATTTTTTTCCGCTTTCCCTTAATTTTCTTATGAATTTGAACTGTACGGTCAATTAAAGTTATACGGTATTGTTCAAGCAATTGAAAACAGATGTGATCATTTGGTATGGTACTTCCCATCTTGAAATATGTAAGAAGCATGGAAAGTAAACAAGAGAACACCTAAGGAAAGTAAGATCTTCGACAGCAGGCCTAAGAAAACCTCTAGGAGAACTTAGCGAAAGTTTCAAAGTTGTAAAAGAATAACGTATGTACGTATGTATGATGCTAGTGTAATTCTTTAGTCACCGCGGAGTTAGGATTTGATTTATATTTGTCTGGGTTTGTTGTCTCGAAATGTGCCTTTTATATTCCCTTTTAATTATGCCTATCATTGAGGATTGCCAGCGTTCACACGGCAATATACGTACCTGTGTCCTTTTTTGTGTCCTCTATTATGCTGTGTTTAAAGAGAACTTGCTTCCAGGTTTTTTGTCGTCAAGCAATTCAGGTTAGGCCTAGACATCAGTTAGAAGGCATGATATTATTTATATAAATAAAGCCGAGAGGGATTGCAGCATTTTTGTTCAATAATACATGAATTGTGTCAAAATGCATAAGAGTAACATGCCATAGTGTTTTAGTGCATCTTCCCCCTAGCGTGCGCATCCAACTTTATATAAGTATATCTACACAATTTTTTTTTTTTTTTTCATAAACGACAAAAAGCACGTTATTTATTAAAATTAAGTGGAGAGATATCCGCATTCTAAAAGCAACTTTTGATGAGTAAAAACAAATCTGTCCCAGCTAACAACAACTTCTCTCTTGTTTATCATTCCTTCGGTCTATTTATAAAGATATGCGAAATTGTTTTGTTTAATTTTCTACGTAACAATGTATTAAACCAGAACTAGAGACTCTCTAATTTCATTATTATTTCTAAAAAGAAAAGATAAATAACATTCGGCTTGGGTCGAATTACTTCGTACCTTCCTCCCGCTTGCATTGAAATCAGAAAAACACATGTTAGATTATAATTAAAATGTTGTGCTATAATAACTGGTATTATACCGACAACCGATACGTGCCTAAGTATGTGAAAAAACATGACATTTGATTATTTACACGACAAGGGCTTATGTACCAAAATTGGACCCAATATAAAAGCATCGTTTCTGATAAGTAGATCTCATCATGCCATAAACAATGCTACAAATTAAAATTCATATACAAATTGAATCTTTGATCTTGTCGACCTTCTTATTCAGTGAATTGAATCCGGCACCACTTAGAAAAACAGTTCCGGACAATTATAATATCAGTAGGTGGATGTGTAGCCAGACATGATAAACGGGCTGATCGGGTGTTATATGAGTTACATTCTCGCTGCATTGTACACACTAATAACCTACAATCATTTTATAAATAATTTGTAATATGTACATATACTGCATGTCACAATTATTACATACTTGCATTGATAGATTATTAAGTAAGTATATCGTTTTAATTGCAAAATAAGTAGTTGGATACATCAAAGTAAAATGAATTGGCATTAATTGTGGGACAGAAGGGCAAAAAGCATGCTTAAGTTTTGCAACATGTCCAGAACGATTATATTTTGATTTCGAGAAAACGATACTCTTCAAGGCAAAAGTTGCACATTCCCAGAGTATATATATATAAAAGGAACAGAGTGGTAATGGTTTTGAATAATATTTATGAAAATTTATTCAATCAAGCAATAAGTTCTGGAATAGCTTTGGAAATTATCGAAGAAGAAGTGGAAGAAGCAAGAAAATATCTGCGTTTACAGATCAATAAGAACAAGGGTTACAAACTGTATACATTAACTAAAACCCTAATCAAAGGCTATGGTAGTGTGTTCTTATCAAAACTTTTTCTAATATTCATATGTTTGAAAAGCTTTTTGTTTGGATTTACATCGACGGGTCAAGTTTGAAGTTTAAAGTTTAGATAGGATGAGCGCGTGCAACAATTTAAAAGATATAGCATGCTTTATAGCATCTATAAGGGGTGCGCTTAGAGCAAGTGTGCCAATTACTGTCATTTACGATGAAAATAATTTTATTAATTTAAAATATTACGAAAGGTGTTATTAAGCACCAACTCTAACAATAATATGATATGCAATTAAATGAGACAGTAAGTGGAAAAACACACATTTACAGTTAAATACAGGGCTACACTAATTTAATAACAATAACACATCGTTCACGCCATTCAAAACTGAAATAAAACAAATTATTTTATCATTATATGTGACTGACTCACGAGCCGACTCCTGTCTTCTTATTGTCTTTCGACAAACGCAATCGTTACTCTCATTTTCCCTTTTTTATGAACTCTTATTATTTCTTTAGGTGAACGCAGGTTTCTTCGTTTGCTAAATATGGCGGTATGAAGAAAGTCTGCAGAGATATCTACCGCGGTTTTATTAATTTTTCGATATGCAAATAAAATCGTTCTGATCGCAAGGAGGTATGCATTAGTTGACAATGGAAGCGTCGAGTAAATCGAGATACATCTGAAAAGTACACATTCACAATCAAAATCAGGGCTTCTTAAACAGAGTTGTCTTTTCCAAGCAAATTTTCTTCTTTTTTGGAAGTTTACTTTAGAGTCGAGATGATCTTAGCATTTTGTTTCATTAGCAACGCTTATTAGATAAGCAAAAGAAAAAAAAAACGCAGGATAAATTTGTTTTCTTGTCTTTACTAGAACGAACCCCCTATCTTCAAGTCTATCAGTCGTACAGATGTTATATTAATTTTCCCATATAAGGCGTACCTTTACTTGCAAAGCTTGCAAATATCTTTCGAATTTTCTTCATCACCGACGTCAGTTAGCCATGTCTAAACGTCATCTAAATCGCTACATCGATCCAACCGTAAATATAAACAAAAAAGCTGAAAATTGAAAACTGAAGCAATGAATGAGTTCAAAACATTAGGGGGCACATTAAATCAATTCTTACGGTAATTAAACTCGAAAAACTGTAAAAAGATTTGCGCACGATTAGCAAATAAAGCTTGACACGTAACATACAGTATGTAATGGCTCGTCACATTACTGTTACTTGCTTTTGGCAAGTAAAGCACATACGTTCACTGTTCACTGTTTGCAGACAAAATATCTGATATAATTAGCATAATTTAGTGAAGACTTTTGTTATTTCAACACAAAACGTTGGTAAGGAGCAAAACGCTTAGTTTGCGGAAGTTTATAATGAAGCCTGCTTCATAACCATCTTCCTATTTTTTATATGTATTATATATATATATATATATATATGTGTATGTATACATATCTATTGCTCTTTTTGTTATTTGAAAAAATAAAAATATTATAACCAGATAAAGCCGACTATTAAATACACTACACCACTACGCATATGCAATTTAACATTTCTTTGTCTGATAAAATAACAAAAACATGGAAGCCCTACTGCGGAAACTTGTCCAAACTGACTAATATCCGATCGAAATTCTTCAGTAGCGGTATATACTATTACTTAATTCAGTTTTTTCTTTTTTGAGAAATTTTGAAAATTGTCAGTTTTTCCCTTATATTCGATCTTCCTAAATATGGAGTTCTCTCATATCGATCCGATGCAGCGTTCATCCTCGCTGCAAAACAGGTCAGCGTAACAAATATCGGCATAAAACCTCTAAAATTGCGACCTGTGCGACGAACACAAAAACACTTAGGCATATATATCAGACTGGCTGATGAACAGACAGATAGACAGACAAATTGAATATCGAACGATATAATAAAAATTCTCCTAAGTATTACCTTCATTCGCACAAAGTTACCATGCCTTGTATTAGGAGTGAAAGAAAGGGGATAAAAAAATGAACATTTACTCAGTATTTAAAAATTGATTGCAGATTACGAATCAATTTAACTGTCAGGTTTGTTTTCGAACCTAATTGCTCAGATAAGCATCTGCTCATCGGATTTGATTTGAAGGTGAACAGGGTTGGTTTACTCGTTCTTTTTTCAAATAATCAAACCAATTACTTACAATTTTATTGCGTCCGCAAAATTAAAATTTGAAGCGTTCAAGTCAATAAGCTTTCCGATGGTGACGCGATGGCCTTCTGGCGTTAATTTCGGAAGAATAAACATTGCGTCGACTCGCATCGCACGTTCCATTGCAGCATATTCGGGATCAAGGTTATTGAAAAATTCATCTACGTGCGTGTGACACGTTAAATTCGTGTCGATCACTTGTTTCGTCATTTCTGAACTGCATTGACAGGCAATGTAGAATATTAAAATTTCACCTTCACTTAAATTCGGCATATGCGGTTGAGCGCGTATCCATTCCAAAATTTTTTGTACTTCCCTTCGTTCAATTTTTGGGAAGCGAACGTATTGTTCGACAATATCAAAAGATACATCTAACATGTTTAAAATCTTCCAACGATTTCTATAACTAATATTACAAAATTTATTATTTATGCGTTGTTATCGCGTGGAGCGCTGTTTTAAGATTAAGTGGAAATAACTTAAAACTTATTTGGAAAAGAAAGAGCTATTGTGTGAAATATTTGTGTAGTACGCTGGAGAGAGAGAGAGAGAGAGAGGAAGAGAGAACTGTTCAATGACACGGTCTGATAGAGCACTACGCAGCCATTCTAAATACACAAAATATTGATCGGTTGCATTTGGAGTGGCGTGCGAATTATTTCATTGATATTTAAATGGATAACACAAGTTATTTGTTTTTTTAAACGCTGGATTGGCTAGAAGCGTGTTTAGAATTTAGATTCGATCTATTTCGATTTATTCACTCATATTTCCCACGTCTAGGGATAAGCCATATGATGCGTGACTTTCTTAATTCGACAGGATAATAAACTCGTTCGGGAATTAAAATCCATTGTTGTGATCTGAGGTTTTCAGAAATTCCTGAAAAAGAATTGTTGAGCTACTCGCTTACAGGGGATGCGACCTTAATGAATTTAGCCGACAGTAAGATGGTATGGTCGGTGTCACAATCTTAGCCCAATTAATCGCATGCTTTACGTTCTTCTGTCAATGGGGAAATCGAAACAATCGCTTGGATTGTGTTGGTGCCTCCCATCATAGTTTGGCTTAGTTTAGATCTATCGATAAGCATTTACAGTCAAAGCTTTTATTTGACATGACAGGAGGAAGAAGAGGAAGCGCAAAGAAAAGGATCAATTATTTGAATAATTTCAAAAACCAAAATTTTAAACGAGTTTTCATTGCCGTGTCTGGCACATTCCTCTATAATCGTATCCGAGTTTCTGCGCTATGTTCGTCTGCAGGACTAATAAGGGAGCACTCGCTCTTCAAAGTCTTCCAGCCTATTGGAAATATCTAAACTTTGGAAACAAACTTTGGACATATAAGCAGAAGTTTTTTTTTTGTAAGTTCTTCTGACACAGGCTTTAAAGATTCGTTCTGTTTAAAAAACTTTAATGCTTTCGTATTGTCCCCATATCCTCTCACAATAGCTCTTCTTTTTTTTTTTAGGATATGACCGAGTCGTACAATACGGTGACGGTTAGAAAGTGAGAAAAAGGAAAAACCACAGCTTAATGGTTCTGCGCCCAACAGCTAACTGTTACGTCTTTACCAACTAAGTACTGACTATAGCTACGAACCAAAACATATTCTAACGCACCTGAGGTTTGAAATTGTGAACACTGGCTTTGCAGCTGCTCGGCTACTCGTGTAGATTGTTAGAAAAAGCTGACTATTTCCAGAGAATAAACTTTATAGCTCGATGCAGCTTATGAATTACGAAAGTTTGAGAAAGCAGCCCTAAAGTCATATTGAGATTTAATGCAATTAAAAAAGCACAAATCTTTAAAACAGGTAACGAAAAAAAAATGAGAAACTTGAGCACGCGAATTGTGGACACCGACTTCTGAATTGTTGAGAAAGGTTGAATGCTTACAACTATTATTGCTTAAAAACGTAAACGATCTATGTATGAAACTTAAGTAAAAATAATACAGTTTCGAAAAACGAATAATGAAGTGAGCGGGTGAAAGGCATATGCGCATGGCTTTCAAATAGGACCTACAGTTTTGCTAAACCTTCATTTCATATAATAAAAATGGTGTTCATGGTGTTTCTTTCCAGCGTTGCCTGCTGTCTGATTAAAGAAAAAGCGTAGAAAACTATCTTCTTTGAACTCCATTTATACATTCATTAAGATTCTAAGCACGTGGTAAGCTACAATACTAAAATACAAATTTATGCGAATGACCAACAAGTACGTACGTACGCATGCAACCGAAACGAATGACGATAAAGATAACGGCGATGATGTGACTTTAAAGAATCAAACTTTTCTAAGGGTTAAAATTAAATTAAATTCGAGCTTAAAACGATGTGAACTCGTCGCTTAAACGTTATGTAATGCTGACATATATTTCGACATTACTTTATTATTCATTATTGGAGAGTGACAGTCGTTAAAATCATTTGGTAAACTATAGCTTAGTACGAGTGCAATATTGATAGTTGAGTGGGTTCAGAAGTTTTCCAGGTTTTGTTAGTCTGTCGCTGCCTTTTGTAAAAAAAAAAACTTATCAGCAAGTCCTACGAGGGCGCTTCCTTGAGCTTCGTATGTGAAAAATGTAGCTTGGGTTCTCTAATATCAGCATTACTTAACGGTTTTTTGATTCGACCTTTTCGACAAATGAGTATTTGTAACGATTCTCAGGTCCTCCGACGTAGATTCTAATTCGACCCTTTTCAACCAGATGTGGACGAAAACCTAGGCCAGGACCAGCATTATAAGAGCTAGTATTAAGACATTGAATTTAGAAATCAGGATTGCTGGCTCTACAATTACGTTTCGAAACTGTAGGAATTAAAATTATTTTGGAAATTTCTGCATTTATTTTCTAATAACATACGTATATAGCTTTAAAATTGTACACAAAGCTGTCTAATGTTTAATTTCGAAGCCGAGGGGCGGTGTCCCAAAAGATGTATTCGTTAACAGAAACTTATGGGTTACGTGAACTTACCTGGCCAAACGTATTTGATGTAAGAAGTTAAGAAAGCGTTGTTTTTTTTTCACAGCCAACCATTTTCGTACAACTATATATGAATGAACTATGAATTGTACATGAGAATGAGAAGAGCGGTTTCAAAACCGATTAAACGATCGAACGTTTAACGATTCCTGTTGCCGCATACAACAAAAAGTTATGCAATATTAATGACACTCTGTGAGCCATCAGTGTACTCAGTTTAACCTACATCCACATACATCCACATCCACATATCACAACGTTGATTATTATTAAATAGTCAAGTTTATCGGTTTAACGGTTTTTTTCTGTGAGTGTGCTTAAGACTCGCTAACTGGCTGGCTGACTGGCTGACTGGATGTCTTGTGTTTTTGATTCTATCTTTCTACCTCATTCTTTCTCTCCGCCTGCTTTTGTTCAGTTTGGTGGGTTTAGTTGGTTAATTTCAACCAGTTGACTCATTGACTGACTTAAAGACCGGCTATTGAAGTAAACATGAATACATATGCATTTGCTTAATATTTGCATTTACTCAGTATGTATGTTGATATTGTTTCTTGTGCCGCATTAAGTTGATGATCAAGTGCGCACACAAGTTCATAAAAATATTCGATGATAGTCTTATTGTCTGGTTAAATGTGTTAACGTTGGCTTAGACAATCTGAGCTTTCCTACAACAAAAATAAAAATAAACTGATATGTAGACAAATACTTGCATAGTTAGGTTTGAAGTTTTGCTGGCAGTTCTTGGATTGAAAAAATGAAAACGTGATGCACGTTACCTAAATAACTGAACGTGAACGTATTAAATAAATTGCAGAAATTGAGAGTATTTCTAGAACAGTGGATAGAGAAGACAATTAAAGGCAATCGCCTCCATACAGATCGTTTCTTTGCAACGAGGAATGACTGCGGCGCAGAGAAGAAAAGTGAATTCAACTGAATTATTTATTCCGCAAAATATATGACGCAATAAAATGGTACGAAAGCAAAAATGTAAAGAAGAATTCCCACATAGCTGACGAGAATTTGTTTGAACTTTAAACTTAGTTAATAACAAAAAAAAAAAAAAATTCATTTGCCAATAAAAATTTTTGCAAATTTTCGTAATAAAAACAACTTTAAACTTTTAGCCTAAATTATACTCGATACGTTTGTGTGTAAGTGCATTAATTAACGGATTGTCAAGGAAGAGTAGAAATGCGCACTTCTTGCTAATTCTTTAGAGCCTTTAAATGTCAACGGGTTTTTCACGATAACTGCAATTGTGTAATGAAGACATAAAACGTACATGAGACTGCACGATATGCATAAACGAAACAAACAAGTTTGGATAATGTGTTTTACAGGTTGCTTCCAAAAAAACTCGTCGCCAATCTTCTTGATGTTAACCTGTAATGAAAAGTACAAAGTCGCTCTCTAAATAATGCCAGTTCTCAAGCCCTCTGAAAGATTCGTCAGATGAAGATCAATAGTTTACTTAGTTTGGTCATAACTGCCTATACATTCAGTTCATATGTAGTTGAAATTCTATCTTATTCGTTGATCTGTTAAATGATAAAACACAGACTTTCTTCTCATGTTTCTCGTCCTTTGTCGTCGTTTCTTTATTCTTCTATCTCATTAGCTGTTAAGATAGTTTCTTTCGCAAGCTAAGTCATTGCCTTTTAACTTTCCTGAGCCATCACTCGCATTCCAGTCTAGTGAGAAATCATCGGTGAAAGAGAATGGAGAAGAGCATTTGAGCGTAAAAAATTAATAAAGGAAATTATCGTAGCACACTTGAAACCATTGAAAGCGTGTTTCTCGAAACACGAAACACGGTCTTTTAAAAGGATCAGCAGCATAACTCGATCGGTCTTCATTCTTTTCATTCAATTTTCAAACAATATCTTTTAAATAGCATATTCTGGCGAAATTCGTTAGTGATTTTCGATAGAATCATTTAAGTATTATTTTTTAACGTACGATTACCTTTTTGGGGGAAAATGCCGACATTTGGATGAGTGGCCAATCAAATGAAAAGAGATAATTTGAACCCTGAAGGTAGTTGTTTTTTTTTTTTTTGGCAAGCGATCTTTTCAGGTAGAGGACAAAGTCAATAAGGTGAAAAGTTAGTTTGATTTTACTAAACCTAAAGCAATGTTGCTTTGCTCATTTTAGAACACTTTTCAAGTCCAGTTGAATCCACGCACCCATGAACACACTCGTCACCTCCTTTGCGTACGTGAACGAATACACATTACAAAAAATAAATTAAAAATCAAGAATGAACTGAATAAAGGAATTTTTCAAAAAAGTCTTTCACAATATTTTCTGACATAAGCGCCAAAAAATACTGCTCGGCATCAATTTTTGTTCACATTAAATGTATAGCATACTCTTTGGCTTTCTCTATTCCCTATTTGGGTAACGTACGACTTGAAACTGAAAACAATAGCAGTAAGCGAATTCCAATACAACTATCTTTTCATTACAAATAATTAATTTTTTTCAAGGATTAAATGATCGAATGTCTCGGTCGGAGACTTTAAGCATAGACTGGGGAATGTGTCCCATGTCTCTCATCTCACTTGATGTTATAAGTGTTTGCCTAATTATATCAATTTTGACGAAATAATTTTCTCTGAATGCTCTACGAAATCACGTATGATGCAAATTGACGGATGAGTGTAAATTTCTTTGTAAATGATGATGAATGCATATATGTATGTACACATGTAATGTGTATGTTCAGACAATACACAAAATAAAAAATTGTCAACCTAAACGGAATACACAAGCACAATGCAACATAACATCACTTATGTGTTTATTTACATGGAGCGACGCGTTGCCTTCACTACTCGCCGCCGTTCACATGCAAATACATAAATGCAATGAAATAAGGTACCGTAATATATTTAAGCAGGCTTTTTTTGATGTTGTCGCTCTTTTGCATAAACAGTCAGGCTAAATAGGTGTGACGAAAAGTCATACATATATACGAAGCACGCATACGAAAAACGCATATTTTTGCAGTTTGCTAGTATCACCAGTGCTTGAAAAATACGTTTTATATTTTCATTCGTTAAATGCTTCTGGTCAGGCGTTGCGAAACATGACAAATAATGAATTAGCACTAATTGGAAAGAAAGTTTGCAGGTTTTCAGGTTAAAATATTTATTTTGGAGAATTTTCTCCTGAAGAAAATTTGCAATTAGCATGTAAGTTAAGTTAAGTGCTAATCAAAGCCCTGCGAAACTTTTCCCAAATTGCTACCACCCGGTACGATAACTTCGGAAAGCTTACTTTCTAAAGCTTGATTTCTTCAAAGAAGCCGTATTTAAAAAAAAAAAATAAAAAAACCGATAATTTCTTCAATTCCTTTAATTTCGGA